TGCATTCTAATCTCGACTATAAATAAAAAAAACAAAATTTCTCCCATTGCAGAAACATTTTTGATTATTTTAAGCTTCTTTTTTTTAAGCTAAAATTTAAATATAAGCAATTTCTCCGATTAGCGGCGAAAGAAATTCCCACACTATATCGATATCGTTATTAGATATTGTTGTAAAATTGATAGGTTTCCAATTTATTTATTTATTTGTTTATTGTTTTCGCTCATGAAGTTACTCTCATAGCGGGCTCTTTTTGCTTTGCTTTGCTTGTTGGCAGTAATCTCTGGCGAGTTAATAAACAATAAACAAATAAATGTACATACATATATACGAGTAGTAAATGCGCGTTAGGTCGTTTTTATCTGTAGAACAGATAGGGTGAGAGAGAGAGAGAGATAGAGAGAGAGGCGGGAGTTGGCATTATATTATCGCTTGGTGTGTTGTCCAGCATACGAGTACGAGTATCAAAAATCTTTCAGGCAAGTAAGTGGCGGCCACAATAACGATCATCATGTTCAGCCAACCTCAACAGCGCATCACACACCAAAACAACGTGGCACATGCCCCAAGGAGGGAGAGGGGGCACAGCTAAATGGCAGCCGAACCATCAGTCAGTCAGTCAGTCCGTCAGTAAGTCAGTTAGGCAGTCAGTCAAGTCTTCAGCGGTCCGCATCTCAAGCTGGACGAGCGTAAATTTACCAGCGTATATAATTTAAATTCAATTTACATTGCCACTGCCCTCTGCTCTGCGCTGTTCACCTCACACCACCACACCACACCCCACCTCACCTCACCCCACCACCCTCCGTTCTTCGTTCTCAGTTCGCAGTTCTCCTCTGCACCCGAACCCGACTTGTTCTCGCGTTCATTCACCGGCAATTGCCACCCAATTTGGAGTAGTAAGTAAGCCCTTAATGGTGAAGGCGCACATTGCACGGTGCAGTCCGCTGTTTGCAGTGCAGCGCAGCGCAGTGCAGTGCAGTGTAGTGTAGTGTAGTGCAGTGCGGCCAGAGTAGTGTTGTATAATTAAACAATATCAAATATTAATGCCGCACTGCAGAGGCAGCAGCGCAGCAGCTCGGCAGCACTGCAGCACGGCATCGCGGCAGCACAGTAGCCGCTCAGAATGCTGAACAGAATGAAATGCTTCTTAAAACTTTGAAGCGTACGGAATCAGAAGTGCATAGTTTTGTTTTATTTTTATTTTCCTTCTTTTTGTTTTGTTTTGTTATATGCTACATATACATATTTATTATTTATATTTAATGGCAATGTGTAACCGAGCGTCCTTGAACGCTGCCAAGTTTTGTAGTTGGGCGGCTCCTGCGGCCGTTGCCGTTCTCATTGCCGCAGTCGCTGCCGCTGGTTTTGGGCTGCTCTGTGGCGAGGACCCACTGTTTATGGCGTGCCTCGTTGCCGCGTTGGCAACGTCTGTTCTAGTCGTTAGTTGATGTTGGCAGAGGTAGCAGAAGAGGTTCAAAGTAGTGGTAGAGGCTGTGGGGTCACAGAATGGCAACGAAAGGCAAAGTTTAATGCCCTGACTGCGCTGTTGATGCAAAGTTCGCCACCCTTGCCCCGCGCCTCACCGCCCCTACCGTTCCTGCCTCTGCGTATGCTTATTGTGGAGTATTCCCCACAACTAAACACTTACACTCTTATGCGTCACACACTATACACACACACACACACACACATTTTTATATACCTATATGGTAGCGTGTCTGTTTATATATTTTTTGAGAACGCAACGAAGCGATAACAAGTCGCTGTCGGTCGTTGAGGCTGACGCTTTATTTTGAAGTCTTTTTTTTTTTTGCGAATTTGGATAACAACATTCAATGCGATTGAGGGCGATGTTCTTTAGAGGCTCATTACCCTTAAATATAGGCTTTATCTTTTATATACTCGTATGTATAGTATATATATTGCGATCATTATTTCCGAGATTGATTGATCAGATTGAATGGTGATTCCGAGTGCATATCTCAAGTAAAGGACCTATAATTAGAATTACGATTGATAGGAATGGTGTGAAATATTTGTATGCTACCTTTTAGACTTTTATTAATCAGAAGAAAGCTCCGACTTCTTTATGATGGTCAGATTGATTTTCAAAACTATAGCAAAGTGCTCGTAACACTAGAATCTCGGAAAGTAAAGTAGTTAGAATACCTAAACTTATATTTTCTTAGACCCTAAGCTGGAAAAATTCGCGGTAATTCCCCCTCCACTTTACTGCTATTTCTGACTTTTCCCTAACTTCTTCACTTCTTGGAACTGTTTACAAAACATTTGACAATTGTATTCGGTTTTTCGTTATAATGAAAGAGCCCTGCAGCAGAGAAAGGACAAGGCTCTTTTGTGCCCCAAATTAATGTTCCCCCTAGAGGGACAAGAGAAGCTCCACCTCCCTTATGCCTCTTACTCCAATGTTCAGGCTCCGGTTGTTCGATTTTTTCGTTTGGTGGCTACCCAGAGACGCAAGTCCATCCTGAAAATATTCATATCATAACGTAGCTTGGTACTCATGAGCTATTTATATATACACGTATAAAGTGTGCCTCGCAATAATTTCAAGTTCTCTGAATATCGGTTTACTATTTCATAAAGCTGGAAAATTGGAAAGATCGTCGCAAGAACCAATTCAAGTATCAAGAACGTTGTTGCTTATTGAGATATCGTAAGCTAGTTGTGTCATTTAAAGCAATACGATGTATTTATAGACAAATCGGTGAACTATACCATATAGCTGCCATAGGAATAATTGGTACAACAACATTTATTTTAATTGAAAGGCTGCTGCGGAAAATGAAGATTCAGGCTGTCACGACTTTAACTTTCTGCTCACCTATGCTATTGGAATCTTATTTATTTTTTATTATTAGTATAAATTATAAAATCATTATTTAATTTAATTCAGTTTTGTGTTATTTTTATAATAATTTTGAAGTTTTTTAAAAATATTTTTGTTCTATTGTTTTGACTTAATATCATTAGTAGTCATATATTAATGAAAATTTTTTAAAAACTTGAATTCATTCCATTATTTGTAGTGTTAGGAGCAGCCCTCGATGATTCATATTTGTGAGGTTTTCAATAAAATTACTGCCAAACATACATACATATGTATATATGTATATTTTTGTTATTCATGAATATAATGATATAAGTTTTAGTACGATTTGTATGCAAAACAGAGAGAAAAAGGTGGAGTACTTCATTTTCGACCTAAATAAGTCTGCCTAGGTACTAGATGCCATTGGCTCTCTTGTGTTCCATCAATCCGGCATCATATGAATGCACGTTTTCATCGAGTATTTGATGAGGATGTGAGGGGCGCGTAGGCAGGGGGGGAGGGGGGTCTTTTTTTCTTCTCGCGCCTAGATCTTTCAACTGAGGCAGCGGTACGGCAGCGCCGCCGTAGCTTTTGGCAGTGGTTTTGAGTGCAAACCCCTTTATGTGCAGTATGTCGTATGTATGTGTCTGTTTCTCGCTTTTTTTTCCTTTTTTAATTTTGTGGACCAGCATTTGTATAAGTGTATGTGTGTGTGTGTGTATGTATTTGTGCGTTCTTGGTGGGGCGAGTCAAAGTCCCAGTCCCAGTTTTAGTCACAAGGGTGGGTAGCATTGGACCCGAGTGTATAGAAAGGCTTCGCACAAGCCTTTGCTCTTGTGCTTGTGATTGTGCTTGTGCTTGTGCTTGCGCCAGTTAAAGAAGCTTTTACTCCGTACAAATGTGAGGGTTCACTGCCGCTCTGCCAGTATTCTTATGTTTGTATTGGTATTGTGTGAGCGAATAAATGTGTGTGTGTGTGTGTGTGTGTGTGTATTCGCTTGTGTGTGTGTGTGTGTGTGTTTCTGCTATCGACTCTGGTGGTTGCAAGAATCCTGCATCCTTTGCCGCCCACCTTGCCCCATTCCATCATACTCCTTCCACCCTACACCACTCCACCACCCCACCACCCATCTCGCATCTCCCACCTCCCACATGCCACCTCCCATGGAAATCCACTCGGTACATTGCATCGAGCTCTCAATTTGCTTATTTGTGCTGCTCGGAGGCTACATTTGTTTGTCAGCAACGATGCCTGCTGCTGTCCATAGAATTTTTAAAGTCGCTTTAAAGAGTTTCCATCAGCCTGTATGGGATTGAAATGAACGAGAAAGAGAATTGCAATTATTTAATGGCCGTTATGGTTTAAGGAATTGTAATAGATTTCATGTTAACGAACAAATACACAAAATGCACTTGCAGCCTTCTCCAAAGTGTGTGCCTCTCTGTCTGTCTGTCTTTATTTATAACTCCTCTCCTTTCTATCCGAAGATCATGCAGATCATCATCTGTCTGATCCATATGGTGATGTTCCATCTGGATAGACAGCAATGGTTTTATGGATTTAAATTTAACTTTAGCTTTAAAGTCTGAAATTAGATTTTATGTTGTTATGTATTCTCCGAAATAGTGTCCCGTCCCGACCATATGCTGATTTATTTTAACGTGAATTCAGTAGCGCTGAAAATATTTAATGCTTAGCCTAAGGATACGAAATAAACCTCACGCTCTTTCAAATGCTGTTGGGCATGAATGGCATTTTAATTCAAAGAACAATGATGAATTAATTGAAAATGCGATAATGTTTGGTTTTTCAATTATAATTTTCAAAGAAATACATAAACCCCTACTCAGTTAAGTATTGTAGTTCTTGGAACAGCTTTTACGAGCAGAACTAACACTAAAACCTAACTCGCTAGATATATGTATATGCATTTGCTAGTAAGTTTTGCTCTGCCTCCATCAATATAGTATATAAATCTATAAATGGCAGAAAAACTGATTAGTTTAGCAGAATCGTAAACAAATGTTTGTCAAGTTTAATTGGCGCCTGTATGTTCATATATATTTGTATTGGTATTTCTATTGTTAGAGAGTATATTTATCAACTTTCAAAACTGTCTGTCAACAAACTTTAACCGTTCATTGTGTTGTTTTTTATTTGCAGGCAAATAAAATTGGACTACCTCCGTTCTTTTGTCATAATGGCGACCCTCTAACCACACCACCGCCAGCACATTGTGGCATACCTCCGTATCAGCTGGACCCAAAAGCTATTGGTAAGTTGCTAACCATGCCATTACAAACATTACAAAATGTCAACCTAAGCCATTCACGATGTGTGGATTCGCTTGAAAAGGGGGCTGCGAAGCGGAAAATTAAAATACAATACTTCTCAGTCTTATTACTTATAATCGCAGGATTAGACAACATCGTTTAAAAATGTGCGATTTATTATTTACATTATATTCTCGTATAATCTGTAGCAGTCTTTTTTCGAACTGCCCAGTTCCGGTTCTCATCTTGAGATCACGATTGGTCTTCCATACGAGTAGTCTTCTTATTCATGTCTCGGCTTCTTATTTATGTATAGTTGTACGTTATGGTAAAAATAAAAGTATAGTTGGCTCCGTTAGTTTATGTATTCTTGACCAGCACAAACAAATAAATCTATATAGACATGTTTGCCTTTCCGTCCATCCATATATCCGCATGGCCGTCCGTCTGTCTGTATGAACGCCTGGATTTTGTAAACGGCTGAACCCACATTGTCCAAACTTTCTGTATAGAGCAACACGAGTTTATCTCATTATGTTTAATTTTTATCATCTGCCTCTTTTTCCAATTTCATCCAAATCGGTTAATCCATGTAATCTTTAGAACTTGCACCTGCAGACACACCAGAAATTTGCCAAAAGCATGTTAGTTGAGTTACGAGTACGTATCTTTAGAGCTGCAGGACTTGTTTAGAGTTAGAATCCTTGAATTGGTACAAACTACACCTTATTTAATGTTTTTATAGAAAATAGAAACATGAATAGAATAGATTAATTTGGTAGACTAATTTGGTCATCACTTTTTTTACAACTGACAAACATAAGCCCTAACAGGAAGATACATCTCTAAGAATTTCGAAAATTATTAAAATAGATGGAAAGGGAGGAAGTGTGTATAGAAAGGAAACCCCTAATTTGTCCATTCTTGGATCTAGCAGAACACTGGGTACTAGGTTTGCTTTATTTAGATCTTTCTACGATGCTTGTGTTCATACAAACGAGTGGATGGACATGGCTATAACGATTCACGAAAATACATACACCTTATTCTGTTTTTACACGGTCTTTTTTACACGATTTTTGATTTGACACGGTTTGAAAATTAAAAATTTTAAATTTTATATAAGGTTGCACGACTTTATTCCATTTGGCTCGATTCAAAATAACATATGATCAATGTATTTTTTTTACACGGTTTTTCTTTTGCACGACTTTTTCTGGAACCAATCTACCGTGCAAAAACAGAATTAGGTGTACTACAATCTGTGTCTTTCTGCCACGCCTATTCCTGTGTGCTCCTAACTTTCGCACCAAATTAGTAAACAATTAGTGTACAACTTTTAAAATTACAATAATAATAATTGACGGCACAGACGCCAGGACGGCAGGAATTTATAATCAAAGCTGGAAATTTCAACTGACTGCTAAATAATAAAAGTCTCCTTTGTAGGTGATATTATGGTTTCAGTTTATTTTATTAAACTGTTTTGCTAAACATTAATATTATTTACGTAGCCTCCCATACGGCCTCATAAACATACATATATGTATAAGTTAGATATATATTTGAGCATAAATGAAATGGTTTTGCGTGCCCCATTCCTCTATTTGCATATGGGCGGAATGCTCTCTGTATTCGCATTGTACAAGTATTCGTATATTCGAATGACATCAAATGCAAATGTGAATGCATTCCCTTTCCAATCTCGCTTATCGCTAAACGACATGAACAATCTGGTAATTATTTGGCAATTGTGTGGAAAATTGCAATCATTGTCTCAAGTATTTCGTTCAATGAGCAAAAGCTGAATATATTTAGTTCTGTTCGAAATCCAAGAGACGACTCGAGCAACTAACTTGTTGCACAGCGCCTTAAAGGAGCGCTCAAGTTCTTGTACTACTTGCGAACAGACAAACAGACAGACAGGCCAACTGACAAACAGCAGAAGAACAACAAGAAACTGAACGACAACAAAACCTCAAGCTCAAGACGATGGATATCTCGACTGGGAAAGGGAGAAAGTCATAAAAATTTGCGTATACGAGAGCGCAATCGAAGGAGGAACATGCCGAGCCGGGCCGGGTCGGGTCGGGCCAGGCAAAGAATACGGAATAGAATGGAATACGGACGTGATTAATGCAAAATTGGTGCTACAAAAAAAAAAAAAGAAAAAATTGAAAAAAGACAGTTGACAGTTTGCTGGCGGGCTGGCGGGCTGGCGGGAGGTCGGGCAGCCAAGAACGAATCAACGGCATAGAAACCACCGATAATTGCGGTTTCCAGCTGATTCAGCAACAAGAGCCCAAGAAAGAATGAGACAAAAAAGAGAAAACAAACCAGACTGAGCCTTAAGAGCTGCTCGGCTTGGCTGGCTCAGCCCAGACCAGACCAGACCAGAGCAGCCTGGCACTCACCTAATTAGGACGTCGTTTGGACACGTGCCATCTCGCAATGGCAGCGCGACCAGCAAAAGCGCCTCCAGCGACCACTTCTCCATCTAGTGGATGTGGACGTGCCTGCCTGCATGCCCGCTCACATCCTTGATCCTGCCAAAGCATGATGCTTGTCAACACATGGCACTTGTTATGTGGAACGACCTTGCCACTATTGTCAAGTTTCAGATTTTGTGACTGTCAAGGCGCTCCCACACTCCCCCCCACACACACACACACACACACACACACACACACAGAACCACTTATGTGCATGTGGTCTCTATTAAGAGGCTATATCGCTAGCCATTGGCAATGGTTACAGGAGCAAACCCACTTGAATCAACTAAACAAACAATTAACCATCCAAGTAGGCAACGACCACAACCACGATGACTGCGGCTCCTGCCCAAGTAACCCAACCGCGAGCTATTGACTTTCTCACCCTTCGCTTCAAAGACGAAATTCAAACAAATTATGAAATAATAATTTCACATGATGCGATTTTATTCGTGTGCATTGTATACGCGTATATATGTACATATATATCCTTATTATAATGGCATTCATTCTTTCTGCCAAATTTCCCTCATCGTTTGTGCTCTCAGCTCAGCTCAGCTCAGTTCGGTTCGGTTCAGTTTTGTGTGTGTGTGGTGGTGTGGTGGTGTGGTGGTTGCGGCATTAAGGGCTATTCGGCCTGGGTTTGGGGTCGGTCGGTTTGTCTGTCGCTCTGTCTGTCGGTCCGTCCATCAGTCGGTCGCTAGCTTGCTCGCTAGCTCGCTTGATCTAATGGGAACCAGTGGCGTAAATAAATGGCATGCACTTAAGAGCTGCTTGCGGATTACACGGCATTATGATCCTTCACAATGGGCACTGCCTCTGCCACAGCCACTGCCACTGCCGCTTTACCACTTGCCGCTCTGCGCCGCACTAATAATTGAATAACACAATAAAAGTCCCAGCTTGTAGCTAGCTTGCTAGCCTGTTCGCTAAATATCCTGCCAGGATGGCAACAGGCGGGTCAAATTTTACATTGATATGTTATGTGGTTATCGTTATGGTTATGGGTATGCTTATGGTTCGACTCGAGTCGCGTCGACTTGGCTTGCCTCGGCTTGGTTTGGTTTGATTTTTATTTTTATGTTTAAAGAGACCCTCCATTTCCCGCTCTCTATGAAAATTGAGCCGCTACGGATTGCAGCGATTGTTGTTTGTTTTGTTAATTTCCACATAATTCCACATTATGAAAACCAATATGTATTCGTTTGTTCTCTTGTATGCTTGCCTTGCCACTGATATGCGTGGTGGTATCATGTATTCTAATTGCCGGATTGGGCTCAGGAATTCTGCGAAATCGGGCATCTAAAGGAACTGCTTCGGGCTAGATCAACAAGACCTTTAACCCCAGTTAGGGTTAGGGGTTGGCTCATAAATCATACATAGTTATTATTTTATTGCTATTTTATTTGATTGAACCATTCATTAAAGTGTGGCATCATTTGCATAATCTAAGCGAAGCCATTGAGGGGGGGTTGTGGCCTTCCAAGCTATTGTTGCTTCCATATGAAACTGAAGTACTCTTCACCTTTCTGTATCCTTCTATTTATATCATGCTCATATACACCTCTCAATATTTCAGCCTAACAGTTTAAGCTAAAGACATGTTCTGATTGATTGTTTAAACTTTAAAGGTAAAGTGTAATCCCCTTCTAAAGGAGGTATTCACTTGAAAATTAAAAACAAGTAGAGAAGCTAAAATCGGGTGTCCCGAATTTGAAGCACTCTGTACATATGTGTAGAAGAATTATGCGTTTTACAACTGTTACATCGGCCTATCGTTATTATCACCAAGGCTCTTATAGTCCCTGAGATCCAGGTGTTCATACAGACAGACAGGGCTGGATTGGCTCGTCTTGTCAAGCTGATCAATAATATATACTTTGTGGGGTCTGCCACGCCTCCTTCTGCAGAGTACGAATATTGTGACCGCCCTCCTCTGCGATTCTCATACCAAGTACCTAGGTGAAGGCAAACCAAGATTTAAATTTTCGAAATTTTGATAAATTGAATTTAAATTCCAAAATACGCAATTTCTGCGTATTTACACAAGGCACCTGGGACTAAAATTTGGAGATGTAGGCGATTATACGAATGGAAAATCGGGAAATCCTCCATAGGGGGAAAGTGGGGGGAAATCAAAAAAAATAAACTTGCACTGCATACACTGCCTCTTGTGTCTCTGAGATGCAGGTTTCCAAACAGACAAACAGACATAGATCGACTCATCTTGTCCTGCAGATCAAGAATATATATACTTTGTGGGGTCTGCCACGCCTCCTTCTGCCTATCCAAAAAGTTTTGACAACGACTCTACGAGTCCGCTTTGAATAGCTTAGACGCTGGGGGCTTCCGAGGGTCGTAAGCTTCACTTACCCCAAAAAGAAATGCAATTCCCAACTAAATCTTGTTAATGTCTCTTAAGTGGAGTCTAAGAGTAGGCTCAACTAATTAATTCATCAAGATGAGTCTGCAACTGACCATAGATAGGACAACATCCGTCCGTCACTTGTTGCGAGGACACAGTCAGTCAGCACCTGACCCCGTTGAGAAACCATCTGTTACACTTTTGGTGCATGGTGGTCGGTCGGTCGGTCATCTTGTCTAATGCATAGGGGAAATAGCTTACAAATTATATTTTGACAAAATCTGGTTGCGACGCAATATAAACTTCTAATTGCTTGACTATTAGTTGAACGACACAGGGGCGTTTTTCCTTTATGCTGCGGCCGAGGACTAAGTGCGAGGGTGCGGGAGCGGGTCCGGGTGCGGGTGAGGGTGAGGCACTATAAAGTAGTAAGGCCGCCCTCTGTGCGGCATGGTAAAAAGGTCGTGGTCGTATGCGCTTAGGGCTGTGGGGTGGCTGGGGGGTGGGTGGCTGTATGCCTGATACGCCTGATATATGCCTGATGTCCTGGCAACAACAACCAACCTCCCCACCCTCCATAAAATGGTTCTTTCATATAACATAACCATATAATCACGTTCAACATCAGCTACAGGAGATCACAAACGTCGCTAGCATGCCTTTTAGATTCCCCGGCAATGATATGCGCAACTCAAGTAGGCAGAGAGATGATGATTATTCGGATGCTGATGCTGATGCTGATGATGATGGCAACGACAGGGTTCCTCATTTTAAAGCAATAAGCTCTAATACGACATGTTCGACGACAACGCGCCGCCGCATGCGATTTAAAATCCATGCGACCCGCGGCAGGGTGACAATTCATCGCTCAGATAAGGACTCGCGAGTGCGTAGGCCAAGGCGACTACCAAATGCTCTCTACATACATAGAGGGAATACTAGAGCAGCGCAGAGCGAGGGAAAGCTGGGAATATTGTCACTATAGAGGAGAGAATAGACATAAGTCGTATCCGAGTAGAATGTTGGAATATTCTCTTTGACCAATCCTTAATATATAAAGTTTAATATAAAGTACGCGGTTTGCGAATATATTGAGTTTAATTGTATTCTTGGATTAGGAACTACTTCCTCGGCACTACTCTTCAGACTGATTCGTTAAACTATCTCCACAAACGCAAAATCTATTATTCTGAGAGTGATTTGTTAAACGAATGTTCCTGGCTATGTGTGGTTTCGAAAGAACTCAATCCTTTTCAGGATATTACAAGTTCACGGACGAAGTTTTGTACACGCTGGCTGTTATGGCTATGGAAAGGTTATTTGTGTTCATACGATTCTTTGAATTTTGAATCTTCTTTTCAAATTTTGGAAAGTATTTCAGTCTAGTTGAAATGCTGATAGTGTGTCGTAAAAAGTGCGTTGGTCGTGAGTGCTCGATGGGCAGAGGAAGAGCATTTGGGCGCTTAAGGGTTGAGTGACAAATGGCACAAACGGGGAAGGTATCAGTATCGCTAATATGGCATGACCCATTCAACTTGAAATCTAAAATGTATAAAAAAAATGCTTAATGAATAAAAACATGTTACACAACCACATAATAATGACATCCTTTTTGTCGCTTGTGCAATCCTTGTCCTCCTCGCCCTCGCCCTCCCCCTCCTCGTGCTCGTCCTCGTGCCCGTCCTGCGGCCCTGCCTGCGACACACACACTGGCCTGCGGGTAATTGCAACGTTCTATATACAGAGAGACAAACAGACAGACAGACCGACAGACATACGCTCGGATATACGAGTACACCCCTCCAGTCTGTGACATCCATCCAGCACAACAATAACAACTTGAAAATGACAACAACGGCAAAAACTTTGTTGTACGATGACAAGAACAACAACAGCAACAGCAACAGCAACAAGAACAAGGCAAAGAAGAGGATGAGGAAGAACAAGAGCCACAGCAGCATGAAATGGAAACGACAACAAATTTTCAATTAAATTGAAAACGGCTCGAGAACAGGATTGAAATCGCTAAATAATCCTATATTTACACATCTACTTTAAGGGCAGCCAGGCAGCCAGTCAGCATTATATACATATGTATATGTACATATGTATGTATATACACACGTAAGCTATCTATCTAGCTAGGCTAGCTTCTTTCTCTATATACATACATACATGCTTATGTATGTATGTACATACTCCCATGTACATACAATGTTTTACAGCCCTTCCGCTGCTGTGGAGCGGCCAATCAATTGGAACGCGCCTTCGCCCGCGCCCGCTTCGCTTATGCGTTGCCTGCCGCTGTGTTTGATGATTTTACCGAGCAGTAACGGTACAAGCTTTCCGGGGGATGGTGGAAAGTGCGATGGGCGATGGGCGATGGGGGATAGGGTGGGGGGTGGATGGGAGGCGGTTCCTTGTTGCGCTCAACACACATAATAATTCTGATCCGCTCGCATAGATAAACAAATGCTGACATATTTGTGTCACGTGCAACAACCTACCAGGAGATTGTGACTGCCCTGCCGCAGGAACTGGCAAAGAGTTCCTTTTTTCTTTCCCAGCACACTGCCATTTACATACTCGTATGCATGAGTATATATGTATGTATATGTATATGTTGCGATAAACACATCGCATGTATATTTATTTAAATTCGATCCAACAACAAATTGCAGAAACTGCATCTGCATCTGAGTTTGAAATATGTAATTAAATTTTTGGCCAAGATAATATCTCTTTAAAATTGTATTCGTATATACTTAGTAGGGGTGGATGGTGGGTTGCTGGCTTGCTGGCTTGCTGGGTGGAGCTCACCAGAGATGACAATCCTTATTACCACTTTTTGGAAAGATTGAAACGTTTTTTTTTTTTTTTGGTAGAAAAATAGTAGTACGATTCTCGGAGGAACATCAGCACCTCATAGTGTTCGAATTTCATATGCAGATACTTATAATGGAATCATTTGAAGGCACTCGCATTTCCTCTGTTTAGGTTTTTGTTTCCCTTAATTGTTGTCCTTTAAGTTTTGTATATTTGTGTGCTTAGTTTGATTATTTCAGGGCTGTCATACTCAAAAGTGTCGCAGATAAGATTTCATGAAAAAATATAGAGAAATTGGAAAGTTAAAAACAAATATGGTGAGGGTAGAAAAGTATGCACGAATCATAGCCATTACCAGCAGTATTTGCAGTTGAGCTTAGCAACTTTTTTTCTCTCTAATCTTTACTTAAAATCTGTCCTAGGTAAGACAATTATTAAATAATATGATAACCTTAGCTTAGCAATGAATTGAGAATCCATTTTCGACCTTTAAGCCTAAGAAATATACTCCTTCTAGCGAGCAATGTTATTCTCAGAGTATTGCACTGCCTTACATATCCTGACTAGCAATTTAGTGTTGCACCGACTTATCCTGCCCACTAGATCTATCCAGCATTATAATATGTTGTTATATGAACTCAAAACGATTGTAATTGTTAATTTGTTTCCATTTCAGGTCTGACTCGCCCTGCGTTATATCCATTCGCGTCAAGCCAATATCCTTATCCCATGCTAAGTCCTGATATGTCACAGGTAGCTTCATGGTAAGTACAATGCAGTGATTAGAAACTTTATTGTAACTTAAAATCGAATCTATAATGATAGGTTAAAAGGTTTTGGTAAGCTAGAAAAATATGTTAGCCTGAATGTTCGTTCTTCAGTTCTCCTGACTAAAGTTTTAATTAAGCTTGAATTTAAAAACGGTCCAGTAATTGGAGAATTACCTAAAAAAAATACTATATTTTAAGCATAAGTTATAGTTTTAATTACTATAGTTATTCAACATTTTGTCAAATTATTGATAGTATAAGTATCTGGTACTTTCCTACCCAATAACATTTTTTTAAGGTGTTTAAAAAGTGCAATAAGAAGAAATATTCAATATTCATAGACTGTGAATATTAAAAAGAATTAATACTTTAAAATGTATGTGTGTATATGTCTATAATTAAGTATTTCGAGATATTAAAAAACATAACGTACATTTAAAACAGTTTACTTAAAAGAAGTGTTTTAAGTTTTAACATCTCTTTGTTGTTAGTAAGAGTGGACTGCATTATCTAAAGACTTAACATCTGTTTGTTTTTAGTAAGAGTGGACTGCATTTTCTAAAGATTAAAGACTTAACATCTCTTTGTTGTTGGTAAGAGTGGACTGCATTTTCTAAACTGATCTGCAAAGCGAAGAGACGAATGCATGCCAGTGTTAGTAAATATTGTACGTGATGCGTTTTAATTGTACGTACCAGATTTTAAAACCAAAATACTTAATTACTTAATTTTCCAGTTGCTTGAACATATAGTATAGTATATGAGTTACTTCATCACCAGATATTAGTTCCATCAATTATAATTGAAGAAAAAAGAAGATAGTTTAAAATTGGTCGTTTTTACATTTCACAACTGTACAAAAAAGATAGACAGGTAGATACTATAATTCAATCATAATGAGGAATGGTAGTACGTATATAGGTTTGTAGAATTAAAATATACGAATGCGGTGTAAAGGACTCTACGTTCTAGTTCTTGCGACTGCTTTGGACCCGATTGCATAAATCGTCGCACATCTCGGCAATGCAGAGATGGAAATTAAGTCAATTACAAAATTCAACCCGCCAATGAGGAAAAATGGAACCAAAGATTATGTGGAAATCGTATTACTAATGTAATAATGAAACTGTGTTGGGCTATTAATCGCCAAGAGTGGAAGGACCTAGCGTAGAAAGCGCTAAGAAACACAAGGACGATGAAAAACAAAAAATAACAGGATTTTGTTCCCCAAACACACAACCCACTCCATTGTCGTGTTCAAGAATTCTAGACAATATCAAACATTTTGACTTCGAAATATGTATATGTGCTTCAGCGATTATTTTGTTCGACCCATTTAAGTAACTTTGCTTTTAAGCTTTTCGGCTGACGAATGTATATTTTGATTTACTTGTATTTATATTTATTGTGTCTCGTGCTAGTGATAAAGAAATGAGAAATGTGTTATTGAAAAAGTATTGTACAAGTTGTACAAGCTAGATATTAAATGCAATAATAATATTATATAATATAATAATGTAAATGGTACTGGTACGTTTTAGAAAACTATCTGCAATACAAGTAGTTGTGATGAATAACTATGCGAGCATATTGACATATTGGCATAAGTATTCAAATGAACTTCCATCTATCAATTGGTCATGCTATACAAATAGTGTATAAGCCGTTAAGCAGATTTTGAAAGGCTTATAATTAAATTTTGTCTCTTTACAGGCACACTCCATCTGTATACTCGGCCTCTAGCTTTAGGACACCCTACCCCTCCTCATTACCAATTAACACAACGCTTTCAAGGTGATTGCTTGTCTCAGACATATTGAAATGTATAGACAGTACTGATGGAATTATTTTGTAATTGCAGCGACTTCCCATTCCGATTTTCACCGAGCCTGTTGCCTTCAGTTCACGCCACGCCTCACCACGTATTGAATTCACATCCTGCGATTGTTGCGCCCGGTACTAAACAGGACTGCGGCGCCCAGGACACAACATCGAATAATCGGTATTCAAGGTAATGAATTGATATTAATTTACATCTTTAGTGCTGCTTCCCCTACTTAGAACATAGAAAACAGTTCCGCCTCCTTCTACATATACTCTAAGCACAAATTCTAATTGCGGTGCATCGCCCATTGGTGTTCAAAAATGGCGGGCCTCACCTTCAGTCCTTCAGTCATTCAGTCCCTCAGTCAAGCCGATATGTGAAATGCCGACGGCAGAACGCGTGCAGTCAAGTGGGGGATGCTCGGGGCTTGTGCCGTTTTGGCTTTCCTGCTACATATGTATATGTTTGGGGAATCCTATATATGTTGGGAAAAAGGATGCCATTTATTTGGGTTATGCGTTCGAATTCTGGACTGTGGCCACGAGGGGCTCTGCAGAGTTCCGTTTTGTTTACATACCTGATTATAAGATTGCTTTTTATTGAGTTGAGTTGAGTTGAGTTAGTGGGTGGGCGGTCGAGCAGCCGCCATCTTTAATTTAGCCACAGCTCACGTGAATATTCACACCCACACACACTTACAAGCAACGAATTGACGCACACGTGGACTCTCCCATTGGCCCTCTCAGCTGGGCAGCGCCTGCGCACTGACTTGCATCCCCTAAAAAGAGCGTCTCATGTTGAACTTGCGTCGTCGTCGTAGTCGCCCCTTAATTTCGAATGTCAATTAACAATTTAGCATCGAAACGTTACTAATGCGATGTGTCTCTTGATATTACATAGTATTTAAAAATTGTGCTTTGTATTTATGCCTATGTGGGCAGAAAATTTATGCTTTTGTCCGTTAATTGACAGTGCTTCCGGTTCCAGGACTTTAACTAAATGGTGCGCTTTCTGTCATTATGGTCAGTTTTTGCCACTCCCCCCTTTTTCAACTTCAACTTCAACACACGACATCAACAGAGCAACACAAAGTGATAATGCGATTAAAATTTAGCATAGAAAGAATTATTATTTATTTTGTCAGCTCTAATAAACATTTCCCACATTTCATTAACTGAGGTCAGTTCGAATTGTTCTAAGTAAACTATTTAATTTATTTAATCAATTTCTACAGGAATTACTATTTATATTTGAAATTACATTTTGCTTTTAGATCAAATTTTCCAAATAATTATTCAAGGATCCTTCAATTGTATTTACTTATAGTTTTTTTTACTTTCCGTGAAACTTATGTGTGATCGGCGCCATTTTGCTTTCCAACAAGAAATCCGTCCAATGATATGCATCAGAATTTTCCCATCCATTCGTTAAAAGCTCGCTGCTTCTATGTAATGCAATGTACTCGTTCAAGTCAGTGTATTTCAAATTTTGTCCGTTGAACAGCTGATTTAGCTGCTGCAACCGACAGGTGGCGCTGAAAGCGAGTTGGCCACCGCTACGCAACAGCTGCGTTTCGTGAACGTCGATTGTATGGTCATGTGTTCGTTATGTTTGTCTACAAAAACGACTCTAATCGATAAACATCGCGTGACTTATCGCACTCTATTCAATTCACAACATACGTAAACATGACTGAAATGGAAAACATTGAATGTTCAGATGCAGTGCTGAGCGCCAATTATGAAACTTAAGCGAAAATGCCAACGCGTTTTTCTAATAAACATATATATGTATACATATGTGTATAACATGTAATATATAATATGCCGTTGCGAATTTTATATAAATATAGGTGAACGGACCACTTATTCAATTTTTATGCTTGGCGCCAATTTACGTAATTGTATATTATGTATGCAAATCTTTTGATTGGCGCCAAAAATTATCTATTTATTTGAATGGTAGTGGCAGCACCAAAATCCAGGGCTTATTAAAATTCCAAGGCGCCCTACACAGCAAAAAATAAATTAGAGTCGATGCAGTGAGCACAAAGTATCCAAAGTATGAAATTTAATGCTGGCAATGGCATCGCCATCGGTGCGAAGTGAATATATAATAATTTCGATTAAATAGCACAAATCATTTGCATATGGCGCCCAACCTCCTATTCCAGTCCGTCGGGCAGGCTCCGTAAATGGGAATTGCAGTTACACTTTATAGAGGAAGCCCGTGTCAGTATATAAAGTCTAATTTTGAAGCAAACGGCACCATTACAATTAGAAAAGAAAAACAATTGTCGCTATCGTGTTGTTCTGTCGGATTGTCGTGTTGTCGTGTTGTCGCTACGAGTTAATAAATCAATCTCTCGCTTTACATTTCTCTCGTGTGCGCGCCAAGAAGAGATAAATGGGAGCGTGAAGCACTCATTGCGCATTCGCTCCAGTGAGTGGCGCGCTCGGACTCTCGGAGAGATGGGACGACGGCGTTGTCGTTGCCATCGTAAACTGTTAGCCCTAAAGCCCGAAAGTCGAAAGTAATTCGTCAAATTGTTCTGCAGGCAGCAGTATATACACGTTTGGCAAAATCTTTATTTGCGGCAGGCACCAAGGCAGCCAGTAGTCCAAAACGTAAAATCCGCGAGTGGTGCACGCGGGCGACTCCAGTCGACCCGGTCGACTACTAAATAAAAATCAAGTAAATCCCTGCTCCGGTGTGGTGTCCCGTGTGCTGTGCGTCGTTGTTGCCGATACCGTCACACCGTCACCATCGCTGTTGTCCATAAAACTTTTCGAGCGCGGTATGCGATGCTTCCGAAATGGGTTTGGCTGTGACTGCTAAAACGCAATGTTTAAGCCAAAATTCGCGGCAGCCTCGCTGGCCCAAACTAATGGACCCATCCAACCGTTCTATCACATAACTAAATGACTTTAAAAAGTGAAATTGTGAAACTCTGTGCCTGCTTTTTTTCCTCATTATTTTGCTGTGCAATTCTGTGTAAAAAGTGGCATTTAAATACATTCACAAGAAAAGAAAAAAAACATCAAACTTAACAGAGCAGTCGACCAAAAAAAAAGAAAGAAGAGAATTCTGCAGTTTTTGGGACTTTTTTTTGTGGCTGAAGCTGTCCATCTTTGATTAGAGAAAATTTGTATCTACATTCAGATACACTTTAATTATATTTCAAATCTCGCTCATATAAATCAACTCAGCAGTACACAGCAGGCTCCCCCAACCCCCCACCCCTCCCCTACGCTCCGCTCCCGCCACCAACGTACACAGTACACATGGACACAGGAGGCATACTCACTCATACAGTCAAATGATGGCAATGCAGTCCTGTCAAACAGTCAACCAGCCAGCCAGCCAGCCAGGCAGCCAGCGAACAAACATAACGAATGCTGCTTGCACAAAAATACATACACACTTGCATGGGGTGTATGTTTGTGTGTGTGTGTGTGTGTGTGTATGTAAATATGTGGGAGCATCAAAGCCAGTAAAGCTCCAAAATGGAACCATATTAATAAAGGGTTTTTCGAGCCCAAAAGTAACAGACCCCGACACACACACACACACACACACACACACACATACATCTACACATAGAGGTACATACGTATATGTATGTCGTTTGTCTGATGGTTGGAACAGACGTTCAAACCCGCAACAGGCAGGCAACAGGGTTATTGTTATGGCTATTGCGCCTGTCGTTTTTAAGCAGCTCACGCGACCTGCGTGAGCGAGTCAGTCAGTGAGTGAGTGAGTGAGCGAGCGGGCGAGAGTAAAAATATTGCATGTACGTTTACGGGTCGTTTGAGTAATTACACAGATACATCAGCATCCGTTAGCAGGATGAGCTACATCCACGTAAATGTAAGATATCCATTATCCGCCAGTTGCCAGTTGCTCCATACGGTGCTCCTACACGGCATGCGAAACTAAAATGCAGAAGCAATCTGCCAAAAATATCGTTTTCGCGCTGATGGTGTAGGGTAGGTCAAGAGTAAAGCAACAACACTTTCATCACAAACGATTAGTGGCACGAGGAGGGGTAGTGCCAATTTGCCAAGTAACAGTGCTTTCAGGGACGCTGTTCGCTTGCTCGCACTCTCTCTCTCTCTCTCTCTCTCTCTCTGTCCCTCTCCTTATCTGTCCCTCTACTATTCTCTCCCACTCACGCTCTGGCTTTCGTTTCGCGCTCTCCGAGTCTTTAGCCAGAGAGCATTGAATTTTGTCGTCCATTTCAGTCCTCCCCCAATCGAAACGAAAATGCGGTTAATAAACAGAAACATATAAATGTTTGGCCAGGCTAAAATATTACAACAATAACAACCACAACAGCTACAACAACAACAACAGCGCAAATGTAACCATCTCATATAAACAGATATGCAGACATACACACACACATACATACACACGTACACATACAAATTCTCGTAATCAAAGTTCAAGCGTCATTTATACATACTCGTAAATAAGATTCTCCATACATGCACACACACACACACACACACACATACACTCGCACATAGGCCTGCCCCCGCATACAAATACAAATACGAATACAAATACAAACACAAATAAGCACAAAATTTGACATTTTAAATGTGTGTCTACATTGGAACAGAGCCAGAGCCAGAGTCAGAGCCTAACAGCCTGTGGTTGCCTCTAACTCACGTGAAGCAGCACTCCACTGCCACTGCCGGCTCGAGTGCATTTTCACTTATGGATGCTTAATAAAAAGGTGCAATCACTGCTTTAAACTGAACACAAAATAAATGTCACTTAGCTCAGAAAAAGAACAATTGTCGCAGCTTGTGGTGGATGCACAAAATAAAAGTGATTTCAATGACTCCACAACATCACGCGTGAGTGACGTGCTTGCGGAGGAGGCTAAGAAAACGCCAGAGTTTTTAGAGCCCCAACCTCCGAATGCGAGTGAGCAAACAGCTCACGCGCTCTACGACAATCTGCTTCAGTCCACAATATCCAGCTCGGAGACATATTTGCGGGCCGATGGGCATGCTGGCTTCACTGGCAATGAGTGGCTAAACAGTGCCAATAGCAGCTATCAGCTAACTCCGGAGCAGCAATACGGCTCGTTTCGCATGCCGACAACAATGCCAAGCCAATCTGGAGCAGCACAGACATCACCCCGTGCCACATCAGCCGCCACCGTTGATCTCATGGAGCATAACGTGGGACGGAAGACGGACGTTCCTAGTGATAGTAGTAGTTGGAAGACACACACTCCTGGCACCGTCAGTGATGACGATTCTCTGAAGGGTAGCGACAGCAAGCCAGCTAATAATCAGATTGCCGGTGACAAAATGTACTCAGTTCCTCCAGAAACATCAGTACCATCGTCAACAGACACTAAAGCCAGCTACTTGGATAGTTTTCGCAATGCTCACGGGCCCGACTACAGTGCGCTGAATACAACCATTGGCAAGAAGTCAAATTTCGATATTCTGGAGCACATATTCAGTGCACCAGCAAAGACGCCGGTCAATAGTTCAACTGCTGTGCCGCCCACTTTGATTTCGGAACTGTTAATGCGCCATCAACAGGATATGTTTCACAACTGGCCGAAGCCCACCAGCACAATGGGTCAAGATGAGACGCTGGCTCGACTCTACAATAATATGCTGGCCCAACAAAACTGTCCCCAACAGCAACAGCTATTGGCGACACAGCTCTTATATGCACGATTCATGCAGCCTCGGATGCCGGAACGGGCTTTACATGTTGTGGACTTCGCTGGCTCGAAAACCCCCACTGCCCAAAGGATTCCGACTTCTATGCATGCCTTGACCCAGCAGGATAACAATAATAACAATCGTTCGTTAAGCGATATCGAGCGAAGGTGTGAGAGTGAATCCGAGGCCAATGCTCAGCTGCCCGAACAGCAGCATCCCCAAACACATGCCGATGAATCGGATAATGTTAATATCAATGATCGGCGGAGTCATTCCAAAAGCAAGTCAGCTTCACGAACAAAATGCCAACCAGCCAAGGAGTCGACATGTCATTTCTTTCGCGAGCAGAAGAACGTATTGGCAGATGTTAAGAAGGGTCTAGAGAAACTAACAGTACTCTGCAGTCAGTTTCGCGAGAATCTAATTGCTCGTCATGAAGCCAGACTAGACGGAGACGCTGACACGGCGCTTGGCGTCACAGTCCAACGTCAGATCGATGAGAATCGTGAATCCATTGACGGCATGCTGACGCAAGTGAGAAGACTTTACCATCAATGGAGCAGTGCTGAGCTCTATTACCTGCGGAGCCTGCAACGGCTGGGCCTAACCCCGGATACAGAGACAGCACCCACTCTTACTCATGCAGTAATGGCGTTGGCCGCGATCGCCTTGTCAGCTGAAAGTGACCCGGCCATGAGTAAGACAGATGCGAGTATATCAAGGAGTTCCTACAAGCAGGAGACCATGAGCGAGAACGAATTTGGATCGTTGGTAGAAAAGCCGCGCAGTCTGCAAGAGATCGAGAATATTATTCTTCAGAAGGCAAACACTGTCGCCGGAAAATTTCAGCAGCAATCAAATACAGGCAGCTCAATGAATGGTCACAGTGAGAATAGCGATGGCGAACAGTCATCACCATCACCAGTCTGCATATGGCATCCGAAGAGTACGGGAATACGGGCCCCAGACGAGGACGATAGTTGTACGGCCGCCGAGATAATACTAGAGTATGCGGCTCTCTCCGCTCAATCGAATGCACTCAGAAGCTCAAATGCCTTTACTGCTGCGGCAGCCGGTGCTTCCTCTTCGGGAAGAAGCTCGGCAGGCGTCGGCGGAAGCAACACTACTACGGTCACCACAACCGAAACCACCGAGAACTGTCCTGTCCTAAATCTATCGCCCGCAACGCGCAATAATCGAGAGAGCAGCTCAGCCAGTGTCAATGAGTATGCAGCCGACATTCAGTTTCCGCCCACACCATCCACACCACCGACAAGCAGCAACAGCAGCTGTTCCACAGGCATGAGCTCGTCGGCCTCGGCAACGGGATCCAGTAAGCATCATCGCAGAAAATCAAGGTATGCTCGCCGGATCGAGACCCCGACATCAACATCCACGATGGCCAGCAGCTGCCCGCAGGAATGTGGCAACAAGAAGCACGGCGGCACCAGCAATAGCAAAAGCTTTAGCTCCATTGCCTCCTTACCCATGTCTCCAGTCACATCCACCTCTACAACGGCCACAGTAACCACAGCATCCACATTTCACAGCACATCATCGGCGGTTGCCGCGGTGGCTGCCCTACAGGAGCGGGCTCTGTCCGATATTTTCAAGGCCCGGTTCAGCGCACTAACGGCAGCCGCTGCCATAGGTGGCGGAGGATCAGCCGATAATTGCGATGCGATGCCGATATCCGATGTCCCATACGACTTGAGTATTGGAACCAAGCTGAAAAAAGTGTAAATTTTCCGAGTGTTGTAAAGTCTTTTCATTTGATCTGCAGTTAAGCTTATTTGTTGTTTGTTTTCAAAAGCGCATTCCTACTTCTTCTTATTATCGAAATACTATCACTTCTATACATACTATCACGATTTAGTCAAGATTATCTAACATGTTGAACATATGGTTTGCTCTCTTTCCAGAAACTTGGATACAAAAAACTCATCGAATTCGCAAGGAAACGACTGTAAAGATAGTTCGATTGATAAGAAGAAACCACATATCAAGAAACCCCTCAATGCATTTATGCTCTACATGAAGGAGATGCGTGCCAAAGTCGTAGCCGAATGCACACTTAAAGAGTCAGCGGCCATCAATCAGATACTGGGGCGACGGGTAAGCGATATTACCTATACAGATCCATACATTGTAATCAACGTGCATTCTGCATATTGTATTATAATCAATAGTTGTCTAGTCTTTTTTTTTTGTTTTTTTTTCTTTTAAACTACAACATTCTATATGAGATACCTAAAAAAGAAAAAAAACGAAAGACGCGAAGCTTCAGCGGTTTTCATTGAGAGCCCACCTCCTTCCTCAAACTAGACTTTTCGATGTGAGAAAAGTGAGAAACGATCGAAAGCGCCGACTTGCTTTAGCTGAATTCTTATAACTATATTCTTTTCAATCTTTGTAATTGAATTGTAATTTATAGCATACATTCCTTAATGATTGGAAGTGCTTTGAGAAGAAGCTGCGATACGGTACGGTACTGGTACTGGTATTGGTACTACCGCTTCAACTTGAACTGAGATTGCAGCTTCGGCTGTCGCCGCTGTAGCAACTGTATTTTGAAATCGTATTACGATCGATAATCGACGCAAATCGATAGAACACAATTTGATAATGTTGTCTATAAACTATTCCTAACTGATTCTACATTCATGATACTTTTGTAGTGGCACGAACTGTCCCGCGATGAACAAAGCAAATATTACGAAAAAGCGCGGCAAGAGCGTCAGTTGCATATGGAGTTATACCCGGGGTGGAGCGCTCGAGATAACTACGGTTACGTTTCAAAAAAGAAAAAGCGTAAAAAAGACAGATCGACTGCGGATTCGGGAGGTATTGCACAAAATTGTCAAATTTTTACACACCTTTCCTTTTTAACTGCATTACAACTTTTATGTTTGGTTTTTTTTTTTTTCAAATCTTTTTCTTTAATTCTCATTTAATCACACTCCCACACACAAACACACACTCATTAATACAACCACACCACACACAAACACACCAGACCACACACTCATACTCACACAGACACATGCGCACACGCTTAACATCAGTTACTAACCAACAACTAGAACTAACAACAAATAAAAACTGTATCTATGTAATTTGTGTAAATACTTAGATTATATTTAACTCTCGTACCATACCGTACCCCAAAGTAAAAACAAAACAAACAAAAAAAAATATACCAAAACGAAAAAACACAACCAAAAAAACAAAAAAAAAAACTGCAAAAAAAACTAATAATCTTACTAGAGAGCAGCTTGATCGCCTGTATGTAGCTTCGAAGCTAAACTAGAACAAACGTCTGAATCAAAAGTATATCTAAAAAGTATTTTGTATATCAACATACACGTACGTGTACCTACTTACATACTTACTACCTTAGAATGCCTAGAAAATATTCCTAGCGCCAAACGCTGAACTTTTCATTAGCCATAGCTGAGCCGTACAAATTACCAATTAGTTGTTGCGTTTAATTTACTATATTGTTTTTGGTAGAGTTGACAATTGAACCAAGTATAATCTCTATTGTTCTTATTCGAGTATGAATCGGTCGCGTTCATGAGTGAGAAGTTATGGGATGAGGTGGTTTCAGTCAGAGATGATCGAAGATGATCAGAGATGATCGAAGATGATCAGAGATGATCGAAGATGATCACAGATGGTGGAAGATGATCAGAGATGATCGAAGAGTTTTATAAGCTCAAGAGTTGAACAGCTCAGCACTTTCCTTTCCTTTTCCTATTAGTTAGTTGTTATTTGAATGGTACTGAAGTGTACTAGGTAGTGAGTACTAGGAAGTGCGCCGACCGAAAACTGGCTGACACTGTCGTATGGCAACTGGGTATGGAGTGGGAGCTAAACTTCAGTTGGCAGGACAACACATGCACGCACACAAAACACAATTTCAAAAAAAAAATATATATATATTGGCTATCGGTGTCCGGAGAGCAAAAGCAAAAAATAAATAGAACCAAAAAAAAAAAACAACAATATCATTTTTTAATGCTTTCATTTCTATCAGGAGTGCAGATGAGTCTTTTACATACAAGAAGTTGTCGTCACATTAATGCGTCAACGCAATCAACTTTTTAAATCGAATTGAAAAACCTGTGAGTCTGGAATTGGTCTAAGCATGCACCCGAAACCGTCTAGAAAATCGATCCGTCAAAGCTTTTCTACGTCCTAATATTAGAATCAATATCAAATCAATCGTAGAGCAAACGTTCATTCGGCATAGCCTGTGCCCGCATTAATATTCGTTTGGGGCTCATTAAAACTAAAAAAAAAAAAAAAAATATATATATATATATATATATACATATAAATGTACTATATATATATATATATATAATTATATTCGTATGTATTTTTCAAAGAGCCACCCAATCAGTCAAGTCAAGTCAAGCTGACCAATGCCGGGCCTTCATGCCCACAAAATATCCGTACAAACAAACCCCGATTGGAAACCCGAAACTTATATGTTATCTCGGGATCACCCACAACGATAAATTAGCTGGCTGAGCGAGCGAGCGAGCGGGCGCCTCATATAAAATAAATATGAAAACAAAATAAATATATAAAAACAAAAAAAAAAAAAAAACAACTATTAGCACGTATCTTGAATCTACAAAACAGAAAAAGAAATATTGTAATTAAATATTATCTATCTTTATTTTTCATAATTTTGTATTTGCGCATATCGCAACAATATCTGCATTATCGATCGATCTGTCGCATCGATATCGATATGTGCGACCCCCAAAACAAACAAATACAACCAAAATATATCGATAATATCGAACTCGATATCGATAACGACCCACCGGCAACTCGATAATATTTCCGCATCTCCACGCCGCGCATACATATATCCACCTCCGCCAACCCACCACCCCTCGCCCAAAAAAATGCAGTGGCATGCCTTGGGGCGTGAAGAACAGGCCAAGTATTACGAGTTGGCGCGGCGAGAGCGCCAACTGCACATGCAAATGTATCCCGATTGGAGTTCGCGCACGAACGCGTCGCGCGGCAAGAAAAGGAAACGGAAGCAAGATGTCAACGACGGAGGAGGTTAGAAACATTTTGTTAAACTACATATTTTACGATATATCATACCAAACCAAAACAAAAACAAAAAAAAAAAAATGAAATTAAAAAAAAAAAACAAATCAAATCAAGCCAAATCTCGAACCAAGAAAATTAAATTACATACATATATCAGTATGAATATATAAATAAAATTTAAAATAACTACACCTACTATATATAATATACAAGTATATATACAATGCTACATACCAAGTATATGTAATATATATACAGCAGCTTTTTTTGTGGTCAAGGCTTTGCAATTGGAAATAGTTTGACGAAAACTAAAACAAAACAAGCAATACAAAAAACACAATTCGAATCAAATAAATATGTTATATGAAAACGGATCTAATCGGTTCACCAGACTCCAAAATTGACTAGAAGCTTCTGCCTTGTCTGCCAAAAAATGATGTGTGCACAACCTAATGTGCTCTATACATACATATATACTATATATATATACATAAAAAAAAAAAAAGAAAACTATTAGGATACCATAGGAACTATGCCATATGCCATGTAAAATATTTTCAATACGCACAATGACAATACCAATTGGGCCCTATAAATCTTGAAATTCAACTCAATACAATGTGCTCCAAGCTAGAGAGCTTGTCGATTCCGACACCACCGCCTCCGCCTCCGCCACCACCCAGCATCCAGCAATATCCTTTACTACTTACCACTACTACTAGCAACAGCCAACAACCTTTCCAAACACTACTAAACACCACCTCGAACATTCATCTATGTGTGTATGTATCGATGTACATATGTATGTAAACATTTAGATGCCACCATCTACACCATTCCTATATAGTATATCCCTGTATATCCCCAATCCGAACGAATACTACCTTCAAACGAACGTTCTTTGGAAATGGAATTCTATTATGTTTTTCTTTTCCGTGCATGCGTTACTTCATTTTGTGTGTTGCTCCTTGAATGTGTGCTTTCTTCTTCTTGCTCTTCCCTCCTCCTCTTCTACTACTGCTTGGTTCCGATTAGTAGCGATTTTTGGGACCAACTCTCATGAATAAATATGGTGAAATGGTGCATAGTGTGCATGCCTTGAAGGGTCCTATCCATAGCGCAGCTAGCCAATTGCCATGCGTCAGGATGATCGATTTTACAACGTAGTGTGTGATGATTCTGTAGTTCTATCTGAGTTGTTCTCATTATATTATCTACTCTATATAAGTATTATAAATCTGTATACATACATATATCTAATTTTTTAGTAAGTTGCGGTTGACTGAGATGATATTCGTTTCGAAATATAGTGCCGTGTTTTGGAATTGGAATCTAAGCTCTAAATCAGCCATATCATCAAACCACTTCTCTTTCATGCCTCTGCACTAAGGCGAAAGCCCGATCTGACTGCACGATAGATATGTATATTAGTTGCCCGTGCCATGTTATTCATTTATCTCGCAAAACTAACCCAAACATAACCATAACCATTGCCATAACCATAACCACAACCACAACCACAACCATAGCCATATAAGTGTCGCATTAATGTTGTTTGTAAGTAGTGCTACCATATGCTTTGACTAACATTAATATATAGAACCAGTAATAGGCAATAATCACTTATCCATTTGCCGATGTCCAATTACCACTAACAATCCTCTGAAATGCAGCTCGGAAGTCTACCAAACCGTATATACTATATACAACTACATATCTGTTTTTCACTCATTTAGGCAATAACATGAAGAAGTGCCGCGCCCGCTTCGGACTGGACCAGCAGAATCAGTGGTGCAAGCCCTGCAGGTACGTTAACATAAATATGATCTCAGACCCTCTTACATAATTCACGACATACATTCACAAAATATCTAAAAATGGTTGATCCAAAACAAAAACAAAAACAAAAAGCAACACTTAACTACTAGAAATAAAGCAGAAACAAAACCGATTACCATTATGAATACGAATGTATGCCGGAAGAAATTTATCGCCTCCACTCTTACCAAAATCTACCATTCACTTACTATACATCACACACAACACACATGTTTAATTAATTAAAAAAAAAAAAAAAACACACACACACACACGAACAATTAACAGTAACGGTAAAAGTAACAATGGGCATTAGCTACGAAGTGCCGTAATGGCGCCTACGCCCACGCCCCTTGCCCACCAACCAACCATCCAGCCACCCACACACTCACACACACACTCACTCACACACATACTATATACGATCAAAAAAGTATTTGCATGCGATCAACAAACAAAAAAAAAAAAAGGAAAGAAAAAACCAAATGCTCTTTTGCTACCCAACCACCCCTCACCCCCCTGCCTTCACACACACACAGAACGCCCTCTCGTCTATAAGCCACACAACCAGCCCTCGACTACACCATAACCCCCACCACCACCACCACCACCACCCTAACCCCCACACCCGCACAGGACCAGTGATGTTTTAGTTTTAAATATTTTGATTTTTTGTTACACATTTTTAAACGAATCCGTCGCACCAAAAGCCCAGCTGGACCGATGCCCGATCAGCAGCAGTCTTTCAGTAGAAATTCCGTCCAGCCAGATTTAGATACAGATTGAGAACTGCCGTCGTGATTTCCCCCTACATTCCATTCACTCCATTCACAAAGAACCATCGATTTTATTGTTGTGTTTTTTCTTTCATTTTTGTTCTCCCCCTTCAGTTTTTTGAGTTCAGTTTCGAGTTGATCGAAAGGAAATTTCGACTTCAAAATTTTGGTATCAGCTCTTGTTTGTTTCGTATATTTTCTCAACCCATCGATATCTTGCATTGAATGGAGGGTGGACTTTGCCCAATAGAATCATTTTTAAGGTGCAGGTCTGTTGGACTTGACGAAAAGTCTGTAGTAATTATGAGGGAACTGTAGATCCCAAAGATATCTCTTTATAAGCACCGTATCTAGTCTGTCTGTTTAAGAAATTATCCAACGATACCGAACTAAAACGCGCAAAAACAATGCCTCGAAAGAAATTTGAGACTTGAAACCCTATAAAGCTTTTCATCTGTCTATGAAATGAAAGTGAAAACTCTAATGACATCTTCATACGTATTAATATTTTTTTGATACTATGTCTGTTTATTAACGAACTCAGATATTGGAGACTATTATGGTCTGAAAGAAATAGCGATATGGGTACTTTGTCTCGTAACCAAAATATATAATACTCGTCAGCGTTGCATGTTGTTTTTCTGGGTTCAAAGAGCTCTTATCATCGCACTCGGCAAAGGGGCAGAGATGGGACTTCTTGGGTCCATTTTCATTTAATTTAATCATTTTTCTGATTATTATTATTATTTTTTGTTCTTTTGTTTTCTAACATGATATTAGGTTAGACATTGAATATAGCAGTCATCGGATCTGTTGGATATACATAGATATTTTTGTTATTGTTTATAAATTTAGGGATTTAATCATGAATATTTCTTTTATAGTTTACAAAATTTTAATTTAAGCATTTTGATGGAAACTCAAATCCCAAAAAGATATAGAGAGTTCGGCGAGCCGAAAACGAAATGATCTTGGAATGTAGTTCGATTGAATCGGGGGAGGCTATTTAATTTTTAATATATAACATATACTTGGGTGTATGAATATAGCAGTCATCGGATCTGTTGGATATACATAGATATTTTTGTTATTGTTTATAAATTTAGGGATTTAATCATGAATATTTCTTTTATAGTTTACAAAATTTTAATTTAAGCATTTTGATGGAAACTCAAATCCCAAAAAGATATAGAGAGTTCGGCGAGCCGAAAACGATTGAATCGGGGGAGGCTATTTAATTTGTAATATATAACATATAATTGGGTGTTTGTGTGTGTGTGAATGCAAAGGAGAAGGCCCAGGCCCAGTCCCAGGCCCCCTTAATAGTAATTTGGGAACCCATATTCGCGGGAACTACTACTTCACAATGTTGGGCATACAGGATCCGCCTTAAGTATAAGAGTGCTCTAATACGGCCGATATCTTCTATAAACATAAACTGTTATTCGCTTAATTGTGTTGATGTACATATTTGTAACCTCACACACATTAACAACACACACACAACACACAACAAACATGCACATCAATAGCTGATGATGATTGATGATGATGATGAATGATGATTTCTGATGTTATTCCGCTTTTCTCTTCATAATGCTGACACACGTAATAATATATCAATACTGTGGACTTGTGTAACTAACCCCGATCGAAACACCTCACTCGAAATATTCAGCCCAAGTTTAGGCGTTATATCAACGGTGAACAACAGCGGCGGCAGCGGCGGCCCAGGCGGAGTGGGCGGCCTGGGCGTTGGCGTTGGAGTCGGCGTGGGCGTTAATGTGGGGATGCTGACGCCGATCGTGAGTGGCATCGGTGGGACAGTAATGCTGCCCAACTCTTCTTCATCCTCGTCCTCATCCTCATCCACCTCGTCGTCGCACACGCATATGCAGCTGCTTGCTAATAGCAGCAATGGAACATCGTTGAATGGTGGCGGTGGCGGCGGCGGAGGCGGTGGTGGAGGTGGCGCTGGTGGACAAACACTGGGCAGCGGCTCGACTGGCGGTGGCGTTTCAGCGGCTGCCACAGGGGCGCAACAGCTCTCGCCGCAGGCACCACCGACTTACGTCAATTTGTAAATGCGTTGCCCACATCCCCGCCCAACACAAAGCATCACAACAACAACAGCAACAACAAAACCCCCATACACACACACACCCACCCACACAAACACACGCACACGCACATTTAAATGCGGCCCAGGAGGAGCTTTTGACAACGGATGATGGCGATGATGGTGAATGCTGTGGACGATGATGCCTGAGAGCTATAGAGAGAGAGAGAGAGAGAGAGAGACATAAAATATTTCATGAGCAAATAAACAAAAGAGAGTAACTCCCGTGACGACGAAAGGAGGGGAGGCTCTCAGCTACAAGTTGCAAGCTCTACCAGCTGACTGGATCGTGTGTCAACATGTTGCTAGCGGCACACACAGTTGTCACTCGTCAGAGAGAGCGAGAGAGAGAGTGAGAGTGACAAACAGAGAGACTGAGGGAGCGAGAGAGTGGAGCAGAGCAGCAGCAGCTACGCGGATGCCAGTAAATGAAATTACGATCTTTTAAGACTTAACCTAAACATTTTGTTAGAGTTGTTTGTTGTCGTTGTTGTTGATTTGACGTTTGATTTGAGTATGTATGTCTCTTCGCCAAAAAAAAAACAATACCTAAAATGTTAAAATGCAAACATACCATTTGATGATAACACTTCATAATTTTTATTCTTTAATTGTTGCAATGGTTCAATATTGTTGCTGCTGTTGTTGTAGTCGTTGTTGTTGTTGTTGTTGTCGTCGTTGATGATAATGATGATAACGATGATGACAATTAAACAATTTGTTGCGTTTAGACCTTTTTTTGAATTGTTTCAATTTGAATATTTAAAATAATTATTACAATTACCAAAAAAAAAAAAACAAAACCAACAAACATACCATATTTAAATTAATTTGTGAGTGCTAAAACCGAAAATCTTTGATGTTGTTGTCGTTGATGTTGTTGTTCTTGGCTTTTTTCTTTCGTTGCATTGCGTTGCGTTGCGTTTTTGGAGAGTCGCCCTCCTCTTGTTTCTTACGTTCATTGAATTGATTGATTGATTGATTGATTGACTTTTCGTTTTGTTCTGTTCTGTTCTGTTTTTGCATTGGCTGTTAATGTGCAAAAAAAAAAAAAAAATGATAAAAAACCAACCCGAAAAACAAAATAAAACCAAAAAAAAACCTATATATAATTTTTTTGTTGCGTTGCACTCGATGCGTTCCATAACTTTGTTTTTGCATTATTGTTTCTCTTAACATTATAAAAACAAAAACACTTGCTTCCCAAACAAACAATTTACAAATTCAAATAATAATGCCAGAAACCTAACCGATGTCTAATAATGCAACTAACCGGTCTTGCACGGTAAACGTAACTCGTAACCGCCTAACTGGCATCCAAAATATCGTTAGTTCTTCCACCCATTAAAATCGCCTTTGCTGGCCATCCGATCTCTGCCGGGCCCGAAACTTGCCTCTTTTTTGACCATAAAAAGAAAACAAAACCAATATATACTTGTACAATACGAGTATAGTACATATATCGAACTATTGTTGTTTGTATTCTTCACTTTCTCCTTTTTAGTAGCTCCGGCCAGCGGCCAGCCTGTGAGCCAAGCTTGCGCCCCCATTGGTTTTTGTTGGGCGTCTGTTTGGCCACCACAGTCCATATATGTATATATTTTTGAACTATGTATTATTCCTTTTGTTCGCGGTTTTCATTTTTTCGCTCTCTTTCTCTTTGTTTTTTATTTGTTTTCATTGCGCCTTTCCATGCATGCGGTGATAATATGTAAAATACCAAAAAAAAAAGGGTTTTGATTTTCCTTCTTTTTTTCAATATAAATATTGTTGTTGTTGTTGATGTTGTTGTGTGCGTTAAGTATATAGTGACACGCCTACATGATATCTGTGTATGTATGTACTATGTAGAACGCCCGTGCACGTGCACGTCCACGAAACACAAACACAATCGTTCACTAAGCAGATTCGATCGTAGCCGAGGACAGTCCTCAATGGGAGAGTGAGTTGATGTTGAAGGCCGACATCTGGTTTCTTTAGTTCTGGATAGTAGTGGTGGCGTAACTCACACACGTACATATATTTATTTATTCGCCCTCCCCCTCCCCCCTATCCCACACATCTGTGAAACTTTTTAGTTATCAAAATAGAAAAGAACATTCAACAACAAGTTAAAACCCGTGTGAGTAACGCCCCCGCTGTCCGAACATCGCAATGTACAGAATGTAGAGTTCTTAGAGAGTTATGGAAGTTTTAGAGTACACTCATGGAATCGATTCGTTCGGACCGACTGACACATACAGATCAGATATATAGATAGATAGATGAGAGATAGAGGAGAGACAGAGAGCTGGACCTGAAAGTTTCTGCTACCTGATGATAGGACGCATCAACTCAGCTGCCTTGCCCAAACAAAAACTAAACTCGAATCGCTCAAACGATATATATACTACATATGTCTAGCTAGAAGTTGAAAAAGAAAAAAACAAACAGATACCCCAATATCAAAAAATGCATTTGTATGCTAATACGAGTATCAATTAAGTAGTTCTTTTCGTTTTTGTGCATTTGCTTGCATCTTTTCTCTACTGCACGCAGCCAATTTGATTGAGTTATTTCGTAGTGATAAATTAACTATAATACCTAATCCCGATATTATTTGGAATGATGTGTAGAATGCGCCTAAAGCCCTCGCCTCGCATCGCCTCGCCCCGCCTCGCCTTGCCAGTGCACGTGCGGTTCGAGAGCTCGTTCGTGTATGCTGTATGCTTGAATTGAGTTATGATTTGCTTAATTCTTTTCTTTTTTGAATTACAAAATAATTATTAGAATGCTTGCATACTTATTTGCATCTCTCATATAATTTAAATTACAAATTAAAAGAGAAACCTTAATATATCCATTGCGATGAACCAAAATAACACTCTCTATTCTCCAATTCTTCACAGGCGCAAAAAGAAATGTATACGCTATATGGAGGCGTTGAATGGCAACGGCAAGGAGGACGGCAGCGGCATGGACGATGGCGGCAACATGAGCCAACTGAGTGAGGACGATGACGACGACGATGATAACTTGGGCGGCAGCTGTGGCAGCGGGGACGAGCATAATAAGACGGCGGACGAGGATACGGAATCGCTCAATCAATCGCTGTCCAGTCCGGGCTGCCTCAGTGGATTGTCCAGTTTGCAGAGTCCCTCCACAAGTCTGGCCAGTCCGCTCAATATGCTGACGAGTCCGGCAACGCCAGCGGCCGTAACTGGCATGCTCTCCGTATCTGTTAGTCAGCAGTCCGAACAGCCGTCCAGTCAGTCCAGATCTGGTTCCGGATCAAGCAGTGGCTCAACCTGTAGCATAAGCAACTCAGCGAATACCTCCAGCACTGCATCGCCAGCGACGACGGCGGCGGCGGCGGCGGCGGGGCCGGGGCCGGGCCCCGGAGGCGGCATATCGACGGCCCACGAGCGCGCCATGATGCTGGGCAATCGATTTAGCCATCTAGGCATGGGTCTCAGTCTTCCAGTGGGCGCGGCAGCGGCGGCGGCTGCCGCTGTAGCTGCCTCTGGTGGGGGTGGCAGCAATCCCACCGACCAAATATTCCAGTCACATCAGCATCCCGCAGTCAGCAACGCAACTACCTCGTCGTCGTCATCGTCGTTGGCCACGAACGACTTTAGCGGAGCGGTTGGCGTGCCCCCCATGGGCAAGTCGCTGGTCTCCACGCTGGGGAGCGTCAGCAACAAATCGGGCCTCCCCGGCCTGACCACAATGCATCGCAATCCGATTGGCGCCAATCCGCGTGACATTAACAATCCGTTGAGCATCAATCAGCTGACCAAGCGGCGGGAGGACCAGAGCATTGGAACGCTCGACGGCGTTTGCGACAGCAATCGAGGTGGCGGCATTGATCCAGCGGTGCTGAGCGCCGCCAATGCAAGTGCGGCAGCCGCCTCACTGTTGCATCATTCGACGCCGCCACCACCCCATCCCTACCATCCGCATCACTCGCTCTTCAGCAGCAGCTTCAGCCAGCATTTCCAACAGCAGTTTAGTCATCATCTGGCCAACTCCAGTGCTGCAGTAGCGCTGCCCGTCGAGGGACCCGCCCTAACAAGCGTCAAGCGTCGCAATACCGGGGAGCCACCCACGGCCCCAACCAACGCCCCCACGCCCAGTGCGACAGAGACGGGAGCCATCAGCGTATCATAGCGCTGCTCGGTGCCGGCGGTCTAGCCTCAGCATCCAGGCCTGGGTGCAGCCCCAGAGACGTCCTGCCACAGTTTCCATCACAATCCTTCTGCTGCTACTGCTGCTGATAATGATGATGGCGATCCAAGGCACAACTGGCGTTTGGCCTTTCACTAGAGTGCAATAGGGGGGAACGTGGGCAGCGCCATCCGATAATACATATATATACATATATACATACATATGTGGACCGATTGACACACACCGACAGCAACAAGTGGCCATCAATATTAATATTTTGTGTTTTTTTCTTTTTCGTAATTTCGTTAACTAAGACAAGTGACAAGTGCCAAAAACCAAACAAGCGAGAGAAAGAGAGAGACGAACAGAAATAGTGAAAGTGAGAGAGAGAGAGAGAGAGAAAGAGAAGTACTCTAAAAACCCTACAATAGCCGACACACACGCCCCGAACCTTCAAATCCCCACAGCACCATGACGCCATTTTTGCGTATGCCATAGGCAAACAAGATCCTAGCTGCACTTTATTCACACACACACACACACACACACACACACACACAAACATATAAGACACACACACCACTTTGCAATAAACTGCTGACTGCCGGACACACAAATTAGGACGAGGCACCAAAGACAGAGGCGAACTGGATCCGAAAATCATGGGCTCCCACCAATCTAGCTGCCCCCAATATGTGACAAATATTAATCTTAGACGTGTATTTCACTAACTCTGTGACATTTTCTCCTCTAATGTATGCTTTCTATTTTTTTAAATACTGGAACACATGATTTTCGGAACCAGTCCAGACGTTGGAACCCCGTTGAGAGCCTGTGCAGACAGCAAATGACAGACTTATGAACTGGGTTCACATTGCATTTTCATTTTCAAGGGCCAAGATTAGAACTCGAACCAGCTTTCGATGTTAACGGCATTTCTTTTTATATACCACTAGTATAGATTTCAAATGAAATTGTAACAATCGGTCATTTTTTCATATCCAAATTCGATCAAGTTCATTGGAAATGCATTTGATTCCGAAGAATTTTTCGAAATTTCGGTAATTTGTTCGAAACGGAAACTGGCCTGCATGTATGTTTATTGAAATTTGACATTTTCTAAGCTTGAGGAAATGTTCGGCCCCGCGGATTACAGACTGAACAAATTCGTTGGTTGAGAGTCTGGCAAAATCTGATGGGAGAGTTTCGGACCTGGAAATGCAATTGCCAACCTTTGTTACAGAAAATGAATGTTGTATTTAATAAATATATTTACACACATATGTACATATATACATAAATATATATGTAATGCAATAAACAAAAAACAAAATAAGGACAGCAAAACAGGCAACAGATATCGTATATTGTATAAGAATGTACATATATGGATTCGAACAAGCTATGCACATATGAAGTCGTCTCTACCTCGATTCGATCAAGATGAATCCCGAAGGAATCGCATTCCTCTTTTTTTTATTAATCTAATATGCACATCATGAAAGGGTTATTCCAAATTATATACTTACAAGAATATTAAATACATACAATATTTCTCGATAAGAAATATTTCTAGAAGAAAACTTGAAAACTTAAAATCCAAATGATTGTCATAATGAATACATAAAGAAATGTGCAATAACATTTTTTTTTTCAAACAAAACCAATTTATTTGTTTAAAGTTGGTCACTTTAATAATTTTAGAAATTTTTTTAAACTTTTTTTTAAAATTTGTTTTTAATGAACTACTATTTTTTATTTTTATTTTTTCAATTATTGGTATGTCAGTCTGCTGCCCATCTATATGTACATAATGAACCAACAATACAAGCCTAGGGCTCGTTTTCTTAGTTGACAGAGTGTGACCAGCGCACAAAATAAGAGATCTGTCGACTGTTGACAGATAGGGTTGTTGAGAAAACGGTGCTTAATGTTGTGAAACGATGAGAAAAATTGAAACTGAAAACATTTACGAATTTATTGACCATTAACCTGATAGCTATTGAAATCAAGTGAATTAATTCAGAAAGGAACCCACGTCTGGCTGCACTTACACACACACACACACACACACACACACACTCACATGCACACATTAAAAACACACACACACATACATACATGTATAGTTCTGTACATATGATTAGATGACGAATCGGTCCCCTAATATGCACATACATACATACATACAGATACATACATATGTACATATGTACTAGTCTTTGATCTTGTCAAGTAATGTTTTGAGTACGAACACTCGCACTCGCACTCCCACACAACAAACACACATACATATTCACATACATACACCTATGTATGTATGGTATATACATACATGCATGCATATGTGCAAGATGTGGGAGCAAAGATAGATGCATTCATATTTACATATACATATATATATATATATACAAATACATATATGTACTTGTACACCAATACAAACATACAGGAGATGACCACGTGTGTGTGCGTCAGTGGTCATTGTTAGTAGGTGGAAGAGAGATGATTATGATTCATTACGATAATTATATTGTGTAATCGCAACAATGTGTATAGCCATTGCCAATTTTGAAAAAGACTGTTTAATACATATGTATGTACGAGGGAAATGTGAAAACAAAAATCTATTTGGAACGAATTAAGTTTAAGCTTTAGTCTCTAAAAAAAACAAACACAAAAACATACGATTTAAACAAACAAAAAAACAAACAAAAAAAAAACAAAAATCAACAAAAATGATATGATTAAAAAAAAATTATGAATGAACGCAATCGTATATAGTATGTGTATGCGGTACTTGTATCGTTTATTGAATGTACCTATCGATTAAGTTAAAGTAGCGGCATATGTAGAAACAGCCAAGACATGAACCGAACCCCACCACAAACACACCAACTCCAACTCTCTCACCAACACAACACACACACACACACACACAGAGAAACCAACTCCATCTCCAACTCTCACCAACACAACACACCAACACATTAAACAACTGTAATGCAATCGCGAAAGCCGCTGTGTCTCAGCCTGATAGATCCTGCCCCCCACCCCCCAGCTGTGTCGACTCCTGTCTGTCTGTTATCAGAGAATAAGAGTTCCGTGCATTTTTGAGACGCCACAGTGGTTGAAGCAATAATGAGCCAATAATGTACTTTTTCACATAAAAATGTGCAAACACCAACGCCAACAACAGCAACACACACAGACACACATACACACACACACACATAAATAGTTATAAACAAATGGGATTTAAATACAAATAGGCACATTCATACATACATACATGCATATGTAAAGGAATGAAACAAACAAAATACTTTAACTGTTATTCTAATCAAAATTTATGCGTTAACTATGCTTCCAATTTTCTGTGTTTTACTTGAATTGAATTTTTTTTAGTTAGTGGTAGACGTTTTGCAATATTTGTATGTATTTACGGTTTTATTTATTGACCTTTAATTTTAAGTTAAAATTTACGCTGTATATTTATGTTTAGTCTATGACTTAGACTAGTCGCATACCGTACACTAATACATACACATTCGAGTCAATACATTAACACACACAAACACCCCCTCCTATAAGGCAGCCTTACTGGACTTACACACACACACACACACACACACACACATATATATACATGCGTGCATAAGCGAGCATGATTATGGATGGATGGATGGATGGTTAGCCTCCTGAATTCACACACACACACACACACACACACACACACACACACACACACACACACACACACACACACCACACACACACTCAATCATACACACACACACACACACGATATAAATGTAACATTTAAAGACCTGACTTCAACATTTAAGCAACACGTGCATGCGTCGTACACACGTTAATAGACATACATACAAATATATCAGTATATAAATACATACATACAAATAAATTAAACGAAACAAACGATTAACAAGATGATGAAGATGATGAAGAAGAAGAAGAAAAAGCAAGAATTGAATTTCTCAATAACAATACAATATGTATGTGTACATGTTTTGCAATGTTGTTCTGTTATAATCATAATGAAAACGAAAACGAAAACAAAAACAAAAACAAATAAGAAAACAAGAAATGAAACAAAAAACATAAAGTAATCTAATGGAGGAGAAGGATATGGTCACTCGAGGCCGGGGCAGAAAATGTTACTAATAACCATATCATTTATAATTATTGTAATGCCTATTATTATTATTATTATTATTAAATTCGTATCATTAAGATTATTATTATTATTATTGCCATGATTTAGTTAGTTGAATGGATTCTTTTTTTTCGTATCTCCTAAGCTCAAACACAATGCCAACCCAAACACTTACATAACATACATATATGTATATAGACATACATACATACATATGCCAAATGCAATAGAAGTAGAAGAAACATTGTGTTTTGTCTTTGCTTTTTGTTCCATGCTGCTCTCTGTCGGGCCCCATTGCACAAAAGAAGCAACCCAGCAAGATGCAACAGTCGCCAAATTATAGTACATTTCTCAAATCCAAATCCAAATCCAACTCAAAATCAAGTTCAGAGTAAAACTGAAAAATATATAGTACACATACACACTTACAAGCATTTACATACATATATGTACCTACATATGTATATCGTGTAAACATTATAGAGCCACATTCAAATTTGTATTCAAAGAATGAAGAATCGCCCCAGTCGACCAGTCTATAGCAGCTCTTAAATCTATCTAAATCTATCTATATGTTCATTTCCCGATTACTACTTATGTATGTATTTTGAATTCGATTGAGTTTAGCTTCGATACCACTCCCCTCCTCCCCCTCCTCGCCCACCACTCAGCCCACTCACCCGGAGGAAAAAGAGGGAAAACATAATTTGGTCGACTGTTGCATTCTTTGAAGTCGCAGCCTGACTGTTACTAGCACCTAAGTGGTAAGAGGTAACGATAATTATATGCATATACACACACCTACATATTAACGAGTATATATATATACATTATACATATGTAGTTATATAATAATGAAAAACAAAAACACAAACATACAATTAAGTAAACAATGCAAACCTAAAATTAGTGAACAAAACATTGATGTATTAAAAGTAAAACAAAATACACATTAAAAATATTAAAAAACAAAAAAAATGTTGACAAGAGAAACCCTTGGATATCTTTTATTATGGGGATACGAAATATGGAAATAAGCAGACGAAATGATATCAAGATATCATTGACTATTTTGCGATTCCACTCCAGTTCTAAATCAAGCCAACGGACTAATCAATTTCATATCAAGCAATTGAATACATCTACTCAACTCTGGCACAACGTCCCACTTCGCATCGATTCTAAGGATTCCACAGCACAAAATTTATAGTCCCTAGGCGGAAGAACTTTCTTAGTCCCAACATTTTTACTATGCTTTTAAAGGAAAATCGACCATATACAAAAGGCGAGGGCAAAAAGAATAGCTGAGCAAGTCAATTGGATGTAAACGAATTAACTCTAATTCCTTTATGGCTAGAAGAAAGATTATTGATTTCTCAAATTCAAATAAAATAAAAACCCTGAGCCAGGGCTATCGTGCAATCTTTTAATCTGAAATGCCAGACAAACAGAAAAATAGGCAAATTTCAACTGCCTAAAAGAGGTTGATTTCAATTTTTATACTCTGTACATGAAATGTACAAGAGTACATTAGTTTGCGGGAGCTGAAAAATGTAACAGGCAGAAGGAGGCGTGGCAGACCCCACAAAGTATATATATTCTTGATCAGCGTGACAAGACGAGTCGATCTAGCCCTGTCTGTCTGCCCGTCTGTCCGTCCGTATGAACACCTGGATCCCAGAGACTATAAAAGATAGAGACACCAAATTTTGCACAAAGATGCCTTATGTATGTACGCTATACGAGTTTGTTTTATTTTTTTGATTTTCCCTCCCACTTCCCCCCTAGGGGGGTTTTCCCGATTTTCCATTCATAAAATCGCCTATATCTCGGAGACTATAAGACCTAGGAACACCAAATTAGGTGCCTTATGTGAATACGCAGAAAATGTATATTTTGGAATTTCCCTCCCTGCCCCCTCTCCCCCGAAAATGCGATTTTCTCTAACTCCCGTAATTCTTAGAATTTCGAACTAAACTTTTGGAAATAAGTTGGTTATTATGTGTCCGTATTCCAAGTTTCACTATGATAGACCGATTTAACAAGAAGTTATAGCCATAAATATATTTGCAGCGGCAGCGCTTGAGCTGCGACTGTTGATGCTGGTGCTTTGGTTGACTGCACACATGGCATACATACACTCACACAGACGCAATTGCTATGTAAATGTGCAATTATACACCCTTTACGTGAGTTCGAATACCGAAAGAGGTAAAATCGATCAACTTTATTTTAAATTTTCTTAATTTTTTTTATTTTCTATAATTATTGTAAACATATGTACAGAGTATTTCAAAGTCGGGACACCCGACTTTAGCTTTTTTACTTGTTTATATGATTTTGGTCTGGACCCCCCCATATTTAAGGAAGAGCACTGCCTACAGAAAAATGCAAGGCTAAATGTGACGTGTGAAAGAAATAATGGAATAAAAACAGCAAAAAAATGCAAATTAAAATTTTTAAAAAAATCTAGACTTTCTCATGGAGACAGGCATTAATACAGTGCTAAAGCTATTGTCTTAAATAAAATAAAAATTTAACTTTTATTCTATTCATTTCTACTTAAAATAACTAGTAGTTCCCTAGCTACGACACACCAGGCAAACAGAAAAATTAGTAAGCAACAACTCTGACGACAAGTACATGTGTATGGGATAGGCGATAGGCAGAGTGTGTTTATTTGTACTCGCACGTTTACCGTTAGAAATGCGACACCATCTTGTTTATTTCGACAAATTCAAGTGAACGAGACAGACAAAAACAGCAAAGTAGTAACAGCTGTTCTCAGTTTCTGCAAACTTGCTGACGATTTGTGGCCGCCTGGTAAGCCATTTTCTTTTTACTGTTCTTATTTGCAATGAAAAATGTATCCACACCATCAATCGTTTTTCATTATTAAATGGAAAGGAAATACATACATATGTATGTAGGTGGAAGAAAATGCTGAATGTAATTGTAGCTAGGAAAAAAAACATTCACATCGTGGACTTCTACTCTCCGGACAGAAAAACCAATCGACAAGTTGGCAGCACAGGCAGTAAATAAAATGCTACGAGTTGGCATAAAACGAAATAGGTTACTATTTATTTAAAGTATAATTTTTCAAATAAACTAATTTTATAGCAGAAAGTAAAAAAAATAAAAAAATTGTATTTTTTTACCCAATGCTAGCAGAAAGATATCGCACAGAAATAAGGACTGCTTGGCTTAACAAGGAACTACTATTGATTGAATAGTATTTAAATAAATAAAAAAAAAGTCTAATAACATTTAATATTTAGGCAGCAAATGTTTTACAGATCATTTTCTTTTTCTGTAGGTATTCTTTATGATAAATAGCGTCACTGAATTGTAGATTTTGGCGTACGCAGATTTTTAGAACAATTTTTAAAAAGGGAATAAGTTATAACTTATTGGATGCTCTTGCTGTAGCCATCCCAGAAATCGTCACACTTTTAATATCCATTCCGTCAAATAGAAGGCGACGCTGTTTATGTAATGAATAATATAATTTTTGAAATAAAAGGCTGGTTTTTCTGATTTAATCGATTTTATTTTGATGTGAGGAACAATTGATAATGAATGTAGATTTGATTGGATTGTTACTATTATTATAGGTATTGCACATCACATTAATTTTGCTTGCATAGTCGATTCCGGTTGGTGCGTAGAATTAAGAACACATGTAAGATAGTTTGATATATTTAATGTATATATTTGTCTAACTAAAATTTATAAACTGGTATTGTTCTGATTACAGATATAAACTTTCATTAATTTGTGTATGTTGATAAGTTAAGCAGCTTCAAGATTAAAATTAAACTACTTTAGCTTACCAATCAAAAAGTAACCACAAAGAACAATATAAGATGCAAACGTATTTAATATCGGTTTACGTTTGAAAAATTTAACCATTTCTTTTGTATTTAAATGTAAATTTATTAAAAGCATTAGTGAAAAGAACTTGTTGATGAGGCAAATATCATTTTTGTTTAATTTTTGTATTTGTTTTTTGTTTATTACAATTTGAAAACTCGAATATCCTTTCCAAAATTTACATTCCACCTAGCTATGTGCGCTTGCAATTTGCTAGTGCATACAATCATATATACGCATATATGGTGTATATGCCAGAGTATCTGATAACGACATATAATGTATTCATCTGTCATTATAGAATCAGTTACTCAGCAAATCATCGCAACGGCTTAAAATCGACTGTGTATTGCTTACAGCTGTCATGGAAAGTATTCAGGTTGGTTCGTTCGATCCTTTGTTCGTTAAGTGTTTCTTTGTGTGTGTGTGTGTGTGTGTGTGTGTTTGTGTGTAGTAACCATTTTAGAAAGGGTATTTGTGTATCTCGGCGTTCCTAAGACAGTTTACTGCATTGCTTATATACGTTTGCAATTGCACTGCAAAAGAATAAACCAATGTGGAGAAAGGGAAAAGTGCAATTATAAATAAATACCAAAGAGGAAGTTTGCTCAACCACGACCAAGGATCTCAGAGTGGGGAGGAGCATTCTTTGGAATGGCGATGGGGGCGATGGGGGTGTGGGTGGAAGAGGGCGGGTGGGGGTGGGGGGTTGATCGGAGTGTGGGCGTTTGAATGAGAATGTGGACAGCGCTTCTTATATGGAGCGCTTCTACTTGACAAAACTTGAGATTTGCTACGAACCTCGTATTTAAGCATTAAACTACAATAATATATATGTATATATACATTGTAGAGCTAAGTTTGTTTTGTAAAATACATATAATACGTTTAATAAGTGTAGGCAGCTATTATATACGTTGATGTATAAATTATTTGTTAATATTGTTTATCGACAAGTTAGTTAATATAATTATTCTGTATTCTGTATATATAGTTTATTATTTAAATATATTTATATTAGCACTGTTAGTGGAATGTGTACGATAATCCGCAGGTGGCGTCCACATCGATATAGAGTTGATGAAGAAATGTGCATATCCCTTTATTTTGCGTACATTTTTCTCGATCTCGTTCTCGTTCTTGTTCATTAAATTATTATTTTTCATTAATATTATTGTAGGAGGTAATAACGTTAATACATACACATATGTATATCTATATATATGAACATATATACATACATACACATACACATATTGTATATTGCATATATAAGTTGGTGTTATTAGAAGTAATGCGCCCGTGGACTTGGCTCAGAAAAGATAAGAAGCTGTTATTAGCAGAAATTATATATATTTGGAATTTCTGCAATATATCGTTTTTCTTTCTTTTTTGATGATTTCGTTTTTGTTTCTATCTCTATTTTTGTTGTTATTATTGTTATTGTTGTTGTTTCCTAATATTGCTGCTAATTGGCGAGCAGATTGAAAGCCCACCTCGAGTGGGAAGTGTATATTCGTTATTGAGGGCAAGGCGTGTCTTCTGAGTCTCTTCAAAATTCAGTTAACGTTGGGGTCGGGGTTCTAGTGGATGGTCATGTGCAATCACTGAGGCTGTGGCAGGTGAATCCGTCGGTTAGGCAATAGAGCGGCAATCCAACGACGCCGACGATTCAAAACCAACCACCGCTTCCTAACTTCGAGCTAAGTCCACCAATGCCTTTTCCGAGCAAGTTGCCAACTCGGCCGGCTACGACGTTGGTTACGGCCGCTGCTTGGGCAGCTGCCATTTTTGGCTTCGGCATGCCACGTGAGGCATGCGCGTTCTCATCGCCTCCATCCTCCTCCTCGCCGTCGCGCGCATCTTCAGCATGTCTGCAAAAAGGGAATCAAACGATGTACACAAAAAATTCTCAATAGCCAAACAATCCATAATTGACTTCTTATAATCAATTTCTTCAACTATTCCCCGATTAAGAGCTTAAGCTTTAAGTAATTTCTTTATTTAAAAAAAAAAAAATTCTGCCTATATAAGTGGGATATTGGAAATTTACTTTGTGCTGTAAGATTTGTACGTTTAGGAGAAACTCTAAAAGTTGTCAAAGATACTAAACCGGACATGGACATATCACATTACCAGCGTCATGATGATATAATTGGGCAGTGGTCGCTGATTTCTCTCTTATTTCCGAGTGCGTTTTACTAGCCCTCATTGTTCCTTCAAATACTGATAGGCGAAGATTTTATATACATACATAAATCTGCACTCTAAGTACTTCAGATCTGGGCTCTTTTTGACCTTGTAATATTCCCATTCCAACAGAAAGGGAGTAAAGGTATAGATATGGTCAGTTACTTACTCGTCACCCTCGCCGACATCGGGCATTGTAAGCGCACAAGTCGCTTCCTCAGTGGCCATGCGTTGTGCAACAGTTTGATATGCCTTCGAATTGAGCTTCTCCTCTAGCACACCCTGCAGTTCGAAGTCTGAATAGATTTTCTAGGAGGACAGGGATAGATGATAGATGATGAAATAGTTTGGATCCCATTCCGATTGAGTGGAATTTGAATTCGGTCGTACCTTAATTATATGAGAAATTGATGTCACTTGCGCATAGTGCAGGGAGTGATCGAGGCGTTCGGATAGCCAATTACAAAGCATATTAACCTGCTGGGAATACCACTGCTCGAAAAAGTTTAATGTCCATAGATCATCGCCAATTTTGCCGCGTATTTGATCCATATTGTTTCGGAAAAAATTCACATAGCCTTGTCCGAGATCCTTCCCTGAGCTTGACACGTTCGTAAAGCTGAGGATCGAGCCAATTAGGCTGCCCTCGTCGTAGCGTGCCAATTTCGACAAGGTCGACTCTAGCACTGACATAAGTTTACCGCTTAGTCCTTGTGTCATCGCTACATTCGCTTTGTCGATTTGATCGTCGATTTTCGCATGGAATTTGTACTATCGGATGAAAGTGAATTCGTTTAGTTAAGTTTAAAGTTCTAGGACTATTTTGGATAGATAATTATATGGGTATAATATTTATATATTTATGTTGCAATAATGGAACGTTTACTCACCAGATCAATACCATCAATGGTAGTTAGTTTAAAGCTTTGATTTTTAGCATCTAATATCACATTAACCATAGCGCACATCTCTGACGGTATTATGTAATCGGTTGATATGAAGGCAACATTTTTTTTAAGCCACGACTGGAAAGAGGAGTCCGTTCGCTGTATACACTGCTCGATCATCTCGGCGGCCATCATCTTAAGTCGCTGCTCCAAATGCTGACGAAACTCTGCGTCTGGCCAATGTAGATCCCTGATAAACGATTGCAGAGCGTCCAACTTCCAAAACAGATCCTCGGATGTGGCACAACCGTTTCTGAGCGCAAGCCATACAAGATACAAAAAATGTAGACGGTCTTAAACGATCTTCAAACGGCCCAAAGGGTAACGTACATACGAGTATGTATTATAAATAAATTTGGGTGTAGCTATCAAGTGTAAGTATTATCCATTATATACACTATGCTTAGTATTTTTAATATTTTTATTTTGATATATTTTGTATTTGTATTTTTGTTTTGTTTTTTGTTTTTGTTATATCAAACACAATGCAACTAACTGAGCAATAATGTAAGCATCGGTCATTAACTTTAAGCGAACAATGCAACTACATGAGTATACGAGTACGAGCGAGCACGATTTAACTTTGAAGGGATGCTTATATGCTTATGCTCTGATGCTTATGCTTATGCTAATGCTAATAATCAGTTCAACTTTCAACTAATTGTTAAAATTTGCGATATACAGTCAAGGCGACTACTTATACGGTATTTTGAATAAAAACATCAGCATAAATACAAAACTAATGGGCTCTGCTTGAGAGCCCATTTATGTTAATATAACGACGCTCTTCTATTATGTGATTATCAAAATGCTTGAGATATTATCGATAAATATTAGATTGTTGCCTCGGCCTGTGTGTACATATGTATGTGTGGGTGGATGACATTGGTAAATAATATACGATTATGGATTAGAATTCATTCTCTGTGCTTCTCTAAAGCCGGATGCATCATAAAATTGGCTAAGCGTGGGCTTGTGGAAGATGTGACAGAAGCTGTTGAATCACTCAAATACTCTATTACTATTATTATTATTAATATTTTGTATGATGTGGCAGTCAACTGGTGTATTTCCCAAAGCATAGCGATAGCGTCTCAGATCCCATTCCCATTGACCTAGGTGCAGGGTGGGTATCTCTAATAGTCGAACACTATCGACTATAGCGCACTAAAAACCGTATTGATGATGAAGATCATAGGAAGAACAATCGGTTATGCTCCATTCAAGTTCAAATAGGACTTGCCACAAAAATGTCCGGTGGGATGGGCTACACTATATCATACAAGTAGAAACTGCAGGTCAAAATATAAATAATACAAGTATATAGGGTATACAAATCCAAATCAGGTTCGTAAAAAATATATAAATATATTATACATATAACGCGAACCAAACTTAACACATTTCAAAACGTAAACTTGTAACTCTAGGAGCAGTCTCAGTGATGGGTTTCAAATTATGGATTGTAACGCCACCACCTACGAGTAGGCAATTGAATTGGGCGACCTAGTCTGTCTAAATAGAATGCATGGGTGTCGAAAGAAATCAAATGATATATATTTACGATTTTCAATGCTATTTACCAAAGCTCTTTACAGTTTTACAAATTTACAGTCGTATATATGTTTTATATATGGGTTTTTATTTAAATAAGGCAAACATTTAATAGCAAAGCCAAAGAAATACGTTTGTTGAAAAACAAAACTTACTTGACCAAAAATATGATCATCTCTTCTAATTCGGTTTACAAATAAATTAAGAGAAACGAAGATGATCATCTTAAAATAAATTAATACGATAATCCGAACTAGTTGTGTTGACAAACAAATTAAGATAAGCTTGGATGATCAACTGATCTAGTTTAGTTGACAAATGGCGGAAGAGAAACTAAGGTTATCGTTTGATGTGATTTATTTGGTAAATTAACAGTAACTTCGATTATATTCTGATCTAGTTCAAAGACAATCAAAGTTATGAGAAATTAAGATAATTATCTGATCCCATTTCGCTGTCAATTAAGTTCAGAAAAAATTAAGATAATATTCAGATCTTATTTAGCTGACGCGTGTTGTTCACTAATTTAGTCAAACTAGATGGTCAAAAGAAATGATTTTTTTTGGCAACACCTATAAGCGAGAGAAACAAATGAGTTTTAACTTATTGTCCAAATTCGATCGATAATTTGCTCAGTCAGTTCAGGGCTGATGATATACGAAAGAGAGAGTCTTGGTGCAAGAAGAAGAAAGAGGCAGGACCTCAAATGGAGTATTTTGTAGGTAAAATCATTTTGAAGTGGTTGAGGTGGTGGTTGAAGTGGAGCTAGTCGATATAAAAATTAGCAAAACATATGTATCTAGGCGTTGCAATGAACAAATGCACGAATGAAAATGGTACATAAGATAAATTAAAAGATACCTTACAAATATTTTACGAGTAGTAGTATGTATTATGTAAATCATTCAATCAATCAATCAATCAAGTAGCAAGTAGTAGTACAGTACTAATTAAAGTTTGTATTATTTTTGGCATTGGCAAACTATTTTGGAACTTGTGAGATACATATGCGATATGCTTTATGCGTTATGCTTTGGCTATTCGCTAGAAAAGAAATCTTTGGAAAATGCATGAAAACTGGCAGAAAACAAAACGCAATGCAAAGAGAATATTTAGAGAGTATGCTAAATGGTTGTTTTTTGTTTGGTTTGTTTTGTTTTGGTTTGGTTTGGTTTGATTTGGTTAGACTTGGTTTGAGTTGAGTAGTTTAAGGTGCTTCGTATTTAAAAACCTCGTGTCGTCAGCAGCTGAGCGCCTCGGTAGCTTCGGTACATAAAAATTGACCTGATCTTTCTTGCTCCCCAGCAGCGCCGCCGGGTTGAGAGCTGCCGTGTTCAGCGCCTGGGCCGCATTGTTAAGAGCCGCAGGGTTCAACGCAGCGTTAATCCTATAGTTTCACAGAAATGGAAATAGAAAATATGAGCGGCGTTGGTGAGCTTTTGAAATTAGAAGATGTGCAATGAGTCGAGTCGAGTGAGTTTTTGGGAGTGTGGCCAATAGCAGCAATTTGAATCAATAGCCAATAGAGAGACAGGGAGCGAGAGAGGGCTAAATGAAAGTGTTCTCCTCTCTTTCCTTCTTCAAGCAGACGGACCCGGATCACTCTAATGTTTGTACAAGCTTCACAATTTCATAGTTTCCCCGGGTCTTTTTTGTTTTTATTTTAAATAATTTCTTTTTATTGAGGTCCCAGAAGAACTCGTTAGTGTTTGAGAAGTAATTTAAATTTTGATGTCAAATAGAAGTGCAATATCAATATTAACTTATAATAACGATTCATAACAGTATGTACATTAAACTGCGTACATTTGCATTTTCAAATGACAGACTAATGTTGAAAATGTGTGGGGCTTATTCGATTGACGAAAAAAGAAGCCTATAGCTGGGACTTTGAAGAAAGATTATACAAGTACTTGTATATACAAATGTATATATATATATATTTTTTTTTTTTGGGGGGGGGGGGGGGGGGGGGGGTTCGTCATTTTGTCTGATGATGATCCCCACATATTTTGACACTCGTTCCATTGCAGTCCAATGTACACACGATCACAGACACGCTCACACTCATACATATTTTTTCCTGCTTTTTTGTTCAAAGATTTTGTATAGATTCTTCAATATAAAGTATAGTACAGTATGACGATCACATTTTCGAGTCTACACACAGTCGTGAGTAGCTGTCTTTTTCAATTTTTCTTTGTTTTTTTGTTTGATTTTACATTTGTAACTGATTATGCAATGAACTTGGATGCACAGCGATTTCGATATCTGTTCACCCTGGGAACTTACCCCTTGCTCTCCCAGCGCTCCTTTTCGAAGCCCTTGTGGATCGACTGGGCTATGGAAGATTCCATGAGGTCCACATATCGCACCACAAGTGGTGCGAATGTGTCGCGCAGATGCTGATGGAAGCGTCCATTTCGTAGGTTATCTGCAAGGAAGGTGAACTATAGAGTATCGAATATAATTGAGATGAAAAAAAAATGGAACACTCACCATCTGCCCGCAAATAATCGTTGAGGATTTGGAATAGGGGAAACGAGTCCCACGTATCCGGTGCTTGCTCCGATAAAACGCGATCCATATCGACAGCAAAAAGCGACCAAAATATCTCTGCATGCTCAACCAATAGGTCGCTAAACCAGGCAAATGCCTAAAGAGAAAAAATGCAAGTATAAAGAAACAGTTTGTTAGCAAATAAACCAACAGAGGCGGCAGCTCACTGGAACTTCAAGAATTTCAAAAACTTCGATGGCATCCGAAGTTTTCTGGAGTACTCATGCTGGTGGCAAGTCAATGAGCTCAACTTGACACAACCGGACTCCGAGTGAGGACACCGGCTAACCCAATACATCACCGAGAATCTCTTTAAAAATGTACATTTAGTTAATGGGAGCACTTTTCTATCTATCTTTTTTTTTGTTTTTTTTTTTGGTGTGTTTTAAATGATGATCATACCAACAAGCAGAACGATGACTATTTGTCAGATGATATATAGAACAGATACACACAGATACTTATAGTTACATATATAGTAGGTATGTATATGTATAAGAACATCAATGAGTTGACACCGCATGAACATTCCATAAGAGTAGAGCAGTATGTGGGTATGTAGTAGTTGTACAAGTAGTAGTAGCTTTATCATCCACTATTATGTATGTATGTACATAGGTATAATCATTCGTACGAGAGTATTCATAAAAAATGATTATATTTATATACTTGATTCGAGCAGACACTTAACACTTTTCACGCAAACGAAAATGCATGGATCAGGATCACTTGCTGGTGTGAGTGGCGAGCGTGCAGAATATAATGATACTCTATATAGTATGTGGCAACATCAATATAAATAAATCAAAATCAAAACGAAGTGAAATTTCTCAAGATTCAGGCTTTCTTTTCTTTTTTTGTTTCTTTCTTTTTTCAAAAATGTAAACAAAGCATATTTCCCCCCATATCGGTATTAATTTTCCATTGTGAATCGCAGTTGTTTGAATGCCTGTTGACTATTTTCATATAACAAATAGTATTAGAATTACAGAGAGGATTGTATTGGAAGACCCTGCATAGATATGGAAGTGAGATCACACTTGAGATTATAGACACACACATATGTAGACACATAACATACAGAGAGATATATTTATAAATATATGTATTTACGTTTTGCAAGTTGTATCTAATCATGCAATTAGCGGTGAGAGAACTTAAAAGAAATCGTATTGTTTTTGATTTATTTTTATGTTTTTTGTTTTTTTTTTATATAAATTTACTTTTGTTTTTATTTGAAGCTAGGAAGGACCCTGCACATGCCCCTGATAGGATGATACTCGCATGCAATCGGAAGATAAAGCTTGACAATAAAATGCAATGATCAAGAAGCGAAAAGAAAAACAGAAGAAAATAGTACATAATAGTATGTATTTAATATAATGAGGGTGGCCAGGTTTGAAGAGAAATTAAAGAATTAGAATTATTAGAATAGGAAGAGGAAATGAAATGGTTGACGATCATGGATAAGTGGACTGGGGCTCATTATCTTCAGCTTCATCAATATTCGTTGTTATGACCTACTGCTGCTTCTTGTGAGTGGGCTCTATCTTCCCTTCTTCTCTCTTCTGTTTTTTGAATAGGTTTTTGGATTAGTTACGATACTTGCTAGCCACATTCTGCTTTTGAAACCAATATTAAATTCTTGTGCGTGTGTGTGTGTCTCGATTTGGGCATCTAATTATAGTATGTATGCTTCGGTAGTGGTTCGGGTGGTTAGTGGTACGGTGGTTCGGTGGCTGTGGTTGTGGTTGTAGGTGCGATGTATGTACTCGTATGCGTGTGAATTGTGATTGTGAATGGGTTTGGTGTGCGATGTTGATTGTATGCTCAGATATTGAGATGTATGGGCGGGCCATATCGCTTGTCCATACAAGTTACTTGTAGTTCATGTTTATTCATGTTTTGTATGCATTTATATAAGTTGAATAATAAGTATTACGATCTGATGTGCATTTTGCAATGTTTCCTATGGTAAGTATGTATGTATGTATGTAAGTAAGTAGATATTATAGAAAGAAAAGCTAGTTTTGTATGTCAACTGGAGTACGTGCCGTTGGTACTGGCGATGTGTAGACCGCATGGGTGGGCATACAGTAACGGAACGATGGCGGCCCATCGCTGGCAGCCCCAGCCTCCATCAGAGCCTTCGAGGATGCATCCGTCATGTCTGATGTTCCCTGGCCGGCAGCCGAGCCACTTGCGCCAGCAGCACCATCGCCGCAGCCATCATCTCCTGCGCCATCCCCGCTCTTAGCCTTAATCTTATCCTTTTTATCGTGTTTGCGCAGCTATAAATCAGGCATACAAATACATATGTATGTGTATGTGATACATTCGCTTTTCTCTTGCCTTACATGTATGCACATAAACATAAATATTGTATCTGATTGTATCTGAGTTTGTTTCTCAGTTAGAAAACGAATACATACAAAATAACAAAAATAAACGGTTTCCATTAATTCATGAAAATCAAATAAGACCAAACCTTTCCACTTCTTGTTAGTGAGTACCTAAAAATTTGTTTTCTTAAGTAGTTAGCTAATTAACTCGATAATCGGTATTGGTATCCGTATCTGTATTTGTAGCTGTACCTGTTGGCTGTATCTGTAGCTGAATTTGTGAATATTAGTTTGTGTAGTTTTGTAAGTAATGCCTAATTAGTCGATTCGAATTATTGTTCCATATATAGTAAAGAAGTTGTACCCTGATAATTAACTTCTTGGGTTCTTGGATTCCTGGGTTCGTCCGCCCTAACTTGATTGTCAGTAATATGGCTTGAATCGTAGAAGAATCGCAGTTGAAATATCGGCATCGGCCATTCAAGTCGTTAGTCACACAGTAGGTTGAATTTGTAAGTAGTAGTAGTAGTAGTAGTAGTTAGTAGAGTAGAGTTCAGTTAAGTAGGGTAGAGTAGAGTAGATTTAGTTGATCGGTTAAGTATTGCCGCCTAAGGTATGAGCAAAAGCCACTTACATCCGCTGTTAACATACACATGAATTTGGTATGAGTAGTAGGAACTAAAAGAGCATAGGAGTAGTAAGTAGCAGTTGCAACTGGTTGCCGACGTATGTAGTATATAGGGAGGGAAACATACAACACACAATACATAGAGCAATCTTAAGTTATATGGTACAGAGTAGTAGTTATTTAAAATCAAAAAGAGACAAATCGAATATAGTAGAAGTAGTAGTGTTAGTTTGATAGCAATGTAAAGAACATCAATCAATCAATACAAATATATATTTATAATACAATACATAAAGTGCTGTGACATCTGCTCCTCTCTGCTCCGTTTCACCAAAATTCCAAAATTCCAAAATACCTACAATACATACATATGTATGTATGTATGTATGTACGAGTATGTACACGTATACAATTGGTACGAGTTGGGACCGTGGCCGAGACCGAGACCAAGACCGAGACCGTGACCGTTGGCTTAAGTGGTTAGCTGTTAACTTAACTCGGCATCCAGTTATCGTTATCAATATTCATACATCATGGATAGACTGGATAATTCACAATGAATCTCGCATATTTATATTCATTTATTGTATATATAGTATATTTATGTAATTGGAAAACGGCTGGGAGGAGCGATTGACTCATTGCAGAAGCGCACATTCATGGGGGGCATATACAATAGATATTGTATTCATGTATTCACAGTATCTATAGGTCTCTCTACACTAGTGATATGCGGGGCGGGGGAAGTATAGCCAAGCTTTGACGAAAAAGGACCAACTTACCTCGCCATAGTGCTCTTCATTCTGTTGCAACAAATCTACACAAAGCTCGGCCAGATGTATTAGGTCCTCTAGCTTCTTCGAGGGCGGAACAATGATCTCTCCACGTAGATCCTCTGTAGAAAAATGTCATATGTATAAATAGATAGACTATTTAAACAAGCATGGAACTCACCTTCGATTTTAGCTTCAGCCGACAGACGAGTGTAATTCACAAGCGCTGCGGTCTCCAGGCTCTTCTTGATCATTTGGCGCACCTCTTCGGGTGGCACTGGCGTTACAATATCTTTCATGAGCACACGCTCTAACAGAGATAGCGTTGCTTTTAACGCTCCTTCTGGGCGGCCGAATGGAAAACAGTATCTAAAATTCGTTATTTGGAATTCAAGCAGCTGACGTAAACGTTCTTTGATCTCAGCAAATTTCTCCTTCTCCTCATGGGTGATGCTCCCGACACCGTCAGGCCTGCAAGATAACTCATCCATCAATGAATCAGAGATCAAAGGATTGGGAGATTTTGTCAAGGCCCTATTACCTATTGCCATGCACGTGACTCGCGCAGAATGCAAACGAGTAATGAATCAAAGTAGGGTCTATCATGTGTTGCTTTTCAGCACGATCCAACAGGTCGGAAAGATAACATAAGTGTCTGTAGCACCCTCGTACGCCATAGCGAGCGCAATATTCGTCCAAAACAAAAACTTGACCGGGACTGAACCAGCCCTACAAATAAATACATACGAGTATATTTGCATTAGTATTATTATTGTTAGCTACCCGTTTTTGTAGCACTTACCAGCGACGCATAGGGATCATTCAAACGATATTCAAGTGTTAGATTTTGTAAGGTTTTGAAAAGCGTCGCATGGTCAAAGGTACAAGGATCAGCACTTATGTAATCCTCCATGCCGTGTTTGCGTGCTTTGTCTGCATCTAAAGTGATAGAATAACATCAGTAAAAAATTTAAGGATTGATTGTGTATGGATTCAAAGTAGGGATACTTACCACCTTGAATTTTGGACATAGCCGAGTTCTTATCTTGTGTGATGGGAGGCGTTGGTTTGTGCGATTGACCTGTGGCCCTGTACATGGCCATCACCCACAGACTGCACTCGTTTTCGTCGTCACAAGCAAAGGCAATGCTGTCGCCCTCACGAACAGCGTTGAAAAAGTACCGACCACCATTCAAGTCGATGCCAAACATGAGATTAGCTGGAATATTCCATAAATAGTTTCTCGCAAGCTAAGATTGTGAAATGAGCTGGCACATACCACTAGCCGCTTCGATGTAATCCACCGTATAACCATCTAGTTGCATCATCTCGGACGGCTCAGATTTCTTCTCCTTATAGCTGCACATAGCGAACGTATATTGGGATACTTGAACTAAGACAAAGTATCGACGTTTCCACTTCTTCCAAACGGACTTGCCAATTGCGAAAAGATGCCTAACACAGGAAACAAATTAGAAGTGAGCCTTTTTTGAATCTTTTTCCGACTAAGCCAAACCGATCGAGGTAATATTCATTGCTCGATTCTAAAAACAAATTGAGTCGACCTTTTCTAAAAACGTAACAATATACAATCAACCTTAATATTGATTTTTATACAAAACTCGAATTTTCATTTAAAAAAAAATCGTTTAAGAGCTTTCTTGAAGCTCAACCCCCAAGCTTTTAAAGCAGATTAATCTTTCAACTTTAACACCATGACTTGAACATACAAGTATATATCAAAATATTTGTGGTTACATTATACATACCCGCAATGTTTCATATTCAATGGTTTGTCCAGCCTGCAAGCAATCTTAATGCGAAGATCCTGATCAGGTAAGTTTTTCGGCACAATCATACGATGCCATTCGGGTGACTAAAATATACATATTTAGTTATATTAAAACTTCATATTGATCAGCAATACCTTCGATGAAAGTGGAGTTGGCTTTATAGTCACTTTGCCTAACTCTTTGTCCTCCAACGCCAGCATGCCTGGATTTTCGGTATACAGCTTCACCTTAACAACCGGCAATGGATGAGTTGTTGTGAAGTCACCCTGGGTATCCCACCTATAATATGTATGTATATTTGGGCTTGGCTTAGCCTCGATATAACACAATTTGTTGCTGTTTGACACTCACATGGGCTTTGAGGCCTCCGCTTGATCGGTTTGCAGCTTTTCGCCATTTTCAACTTCCATTGTACAATAAACTATGCGATTGGGCGCAAGAGACTTAAGACCCTTTACCTCCATAACAATCACTTCCAATTGGAAAGTAAGCACCACATCCAGTTTTGTCAATTGGGTGGTACCTTCCTCCGAATCACCTTCCAGTTTGGAAAGCGATCCGTGCGAACGCAATATCATTTTTCTTATATAACAAATGATTAAAATATTAGCAAATGCGATGGCTGAACACCTAAAAAATCTGACTTACATAAATGATGGTGTACTGAAAAATGATTATAATAATAGTTAGTATTATAAATATTCGGGGTATTAGTAATGCTCATACCTGTGATTATACCGCTTCAGTTTTTGTAAACCATATTTGCTGTCCATATTTCCCTTAGATACTGGCAAGGATTCTAGATTTGCCATCAACAGATTAATGGACGATTTCAATTCCTCGATGTAAAGAGACTCCATCTCCTTAAGCACAAATTTTGGCATTAATTTTCGATTCTTCTCCATTTCACCAACGCGCTGCATCCGTCCATCCAATTCCCGCCTAATGGCCGCAGCCTGCTCATCAGCTGAATCAAGCTGAAGGTATACGAATAAAGAAGTATAGAAGGAATGGAATAATTGAAGTAATTTTTGCTTACCATCAGTGCATTAAATAAGATTTGATGCTCAAACTTTTTCACTGACAATATCTGTTGAAACATATCGTACAGTTGTTCCTTGGATAGAATAAGTTCGCTATTTAGCGATTGCTGCATGCGTGATGGTCGCTTTGAATCCTCCTCGCCTGTACCCTTTAGTATGATGTCAAACTTAGCCATCCAAGATGTTAGTACGGTTTCCTTGCTAAGACCATCAATCTCCGGTAAAGATCTATTTGTGTTATTTTTATTAGAGAATGCGCTTTCTACTTCAACTTTTTAAATGGGTTAACTAACCTAACACGTTTTTCGATGTTATTGCGAAAAACCTCCCGAAAATCGTGTTGTGAACAGGCACCAGATTGAACCATTTTCAGAACGCGTTCGGATTTTAAAAACACATCATGATAGCTCTGAACGGCGTTTTGAAATGCTTCGTCGGCCATTATTTGCGTTTCCCCTTTAAGGAAAGCCTGCAAAGAAAGTTCTTAGCTTAACACTCGTATAAAGTCGAGATTCTCGAACCCTGGATGTTTATGGTGTTTAAGCTTTTTACTAGCAGTCAGTTCGTAGGGGGTAGTCGGTCAACAAATTTGAAACCTACCTGAAATCGTTGTGTTATCATTTCCAATTGCTGCTTTGTAATCTTTGGCTGTCGCTTGGTCATGTCTGTGGGCTGTTTGGCGTTAAACGGGTACGATATGCAGCGCGAAATGAACACATAGAGTTGAATGCGACGCTTGCGTTCCTCCTCTTCGCGTTCGTGCTTCTCCTGTACCAACAAAAAATGTGAAAGTAGTTTGGATCTTGGAGGGATGAAGGAGCTGAAGAGGTTGGGGCTTACGTGGGGGTCCACACCATCCTGCTTGTCGCTGGCAACGGATGGCGACGGCGACAGGGGTCTGGGTAACGAGTTGGCCCGCGATGATCCGACACTTTGATTTAATGTCTCTTGAGAAATGCCACTAGATGACGATAGCAACGTGTGATTATTACTTTGTGTTACCTTCTGGAAGTGGGCATCCAAACCGGCCCGCCCGCTGCTGCTGTTGGTGCTGCGTCCCTTGCCCACAGCATCACAGGCGCCGCCCATGTGCGGCGGCGCTTTGATCCTCGGTATGCTAGGTGGAATCGAGCCACCGCCCGCACCGGCAGCAGCAGCTTTGTGACCATCGTACATTGGGTGCTGATTTGGTTTTTCGTTTTGATATTTGTGATATTGATACGACTGCTGATCATAATGGTGATAAGAATATAGATTTTGTTGCTGTTGTTGTTGTTGCGGATGTTGCCGACTACTACAATGGGCTGATGGGCTTAACTGCTGTATTAAAATTCTACTACTGCTGTGCTGGTTCTGGCCATGATTCAACTTATGCGCCCCAATTGAATTTCTCGAAAAACTATTTTAATTGTTTGTATATTATGCATTATGTATATGCGATATACATATGTATATACATATATAACCAACCCATAGATGATGAGTAGTTTAGTTGAGTGGTGGTTTGTGGTGGTTGGTGATGATTTGATTTGCATAAACATCGTTATTGGTCATTAAGTTTTTTTATTTTAGTTTTACAGATAATTCAACGATCAGACGATTATCAAGATTTCGTTTTGATTTTGATTTGATTGTGATTTCGATTTCCAAGTGCAAACCAACCAGTCAGCCAACGTCAGATGCAATTTTGATTTTATTTTGCAGGTTAAACAGATTTTTTTCAATGTGTTTCAATGAATTTTGATGTTATTTTACATTAAATTGGATTGATTTGATAGTTTGTATTTTTGTTTTGTTTTTAACAGATGTATGTGTACGTTATGCATTCAAATTTTTCGATAATTTTAAATTTCGTCAATATTATTTATTCGATTTATTTGTGTGGGTGTGCCAATTTTTGCGGTTTATCATACATACATGTGCAGGTGGTTATGATTTTTGATGAACGTTGTATCCCGAGAGAAAAATATTAAAATGAGTTAATTATTTGAATAAAACTAACGTAAGAACGGTGGACAACAATTAAAACGTCAACGATCATTAGTAGTACTATGTGTGTGTGTGTGTGTGTGTGTGTGTGTGTGTGCGTGTGTTGGGTGAGTTTGTGTGGATATGGGGTGCCCAGGTGAGTAATACATACATATGTCAAATGTTATTAAAGGTGCGCACATGACATGAAAGAATCAAAAGAGTAAAGTAAATTGTAGTGTATCGAAAAAACTGTTAAATAAAATGTCTTTCCCACCAAATGCTTTCATACTCATTAATAGTTATCCCCCACACTTCCATCGGCCAGAAAGCTTTAATCAAATACAAAACGAAATTCATTTTGGTGCAAGTTACTGGCTTCAATGAAATTAAACTTAAGGCTTAACAAATGTATTCAAAATAAATCAATTATACAGTATTTAATGAAAATTAAGTTCTTTTATCTTAATTTGTTCTTTGTAAGCAAATAATCATGACCAAAAAGCAACAACGGCCAAGACTGTGTTGTCTTTCAAATAATATGTTTGAATATACGAAATAAGAACAAAAACTAAACGCAGTAGATTTTATGGTATAATAATTAATACATAAGCACCCAAGAAATAAGAACATTAAGATTTTAATGCATGTATTTAATTGGCGACGCGGTAAGATAGAAATTTGTAAAAAGTAGTACTACATGCTGCCTAAATTTCTTTGAAAATAAATTTGAAGACCCCTTTTTACCAATTTCTCTGACAGTGGAGCTGAATGATGACAAGTTTGTGTGAATGTGTGTATGTGTTTTGTGTGGACGTGCATGTTTTTACATATTACGGGGAAGAGCATCCTTGAGTTATACACTAACCTTGGAATGCCATTATTGGGAACTTCAAGACCACCATCGCTACCACCAGCCTGAACTTGGTCGGTCTTAGCAGGTCCCACGCCTCCAGTGCTATTGGCTTGACCACTCTCCATACGGTTACTGGCTGATGCAGGAGGCGCTCTTTGATTGCCAGAAAAGTCTCCATTCTGTACATTAGATACAGACATTGGAACGGCCCCAGATCCGGACATCGAAGTATTTGCTGGCCCAGCGGCCATTGAAGCCGCTGATTTAGGTGGAGGCCCAAGGCGCCCTTTAGGCGGCACATTGACAACGGCATCATCGTCGCCCTCCTCCTCACTAGAGCTGGGGTCAATCATGTTCTGGTAGATACGACTTTAATTGCTTTTCCAATGGTGCCTCACTTAGACGAGGGGCCTGAAAAGAACGCGCACTATCTATTTCATTGTGTGTTTTTTCACTGTGAATTATCTTCTGACGGCGATACATTGCCCTTCCAAGACCCGAGACCACCGAAGCGTCGGCTATTACCAACGCAAAGCTGAATTCATAACGTTTTTAAATTGTAATGCGGGCCGTGGATAACTATTCTATTTTGTGCGTGTGGGAATGTGTATACATATACGTATACGAGTACGTGTGAGCATGTGTGCAAGGGTGCGGGCCACGAATCTATCCTACATGGGTGTATTGCCAACGCAAAATTTCATGGCACATTTTTAATGCGGTGCGGTGCCTGCCTGCAGATAGCACACCCACACCCACACCCAACCCACTTGAACCTCTAAGCATGGCAATGCTGGCCATGTGTTACTAACAAGGGTGGAAAGTAAAGCAGACCCGTGTTGGCAATAGGGTCGAAGTTATCTGAGAAACTTGACTCCGACTTCATTGCTGCTTAAGCTACAAATTTATGGTTTAAGGTTACACATAAACAACACTTTTAACTAAAACTACAACTTATTTGCATTGACACACTTAAAAAAAATCATTTCATTATAATTACTGAGATGATATCACAACTGCCTTCTAACGGTATTCGCATGCATAGTCTTAACGAATATCTCTAAAGCACACTTCTGTACACTTTTATATCGGGATTTGTTGATTCTTATTGGACAATATTCATACTGGCATTTGCGCCAAGACACTGAGATTTAACGGAAGGAATAGAAAAATCAAAGGACATTTATATATACATACACACTACCCGCGCGCCATTGAATGTACAAACACACCAACGGTGTGAGTGAATTTGGACGAATTGCAAAAATTTCTTTGAGAGTACGTACTTGTTTGCGCCACTTTTATGATATGCAATTTATCTCGGAATGTATCACATCATTAATAATATTATAGCGTTCCACTCAAAAATAAACAACACTTTAAGCTCGGGCATACGCATACACAGTGTATTTTTTTGCAAAAAATCGATATGCTTAATTTGGCATTCGATACATTTTGTAACGACGTCTGGGCTTGCCTATCGACTTTCGATGAAACAAAGTGTTGCAAAGTGCGACGCAACTTTGTATCGACCCAAAAAAGTGACACAGGGCTGTAAATCCGAAAGAAGCATATATGTAGACTGAAGGCATTATTTCGCTGCAAAACTCGACTTAGTAACAAATTCGTAATACCCATAATGGTGCTCGCCGTGATCGATTTGTGTATGTTACGGTTTTTTATTAAATGTTCCACTTGCAAATTGCTTTCGACCTGTATATTATAGTTGTTAGTGTGTGTCTAAGCAAGTTGTACATACATATGTACACACGAAGACGAGGTGTACATATGAACGGGTTACATATACATAACATAATCCTATTTTGACTTGACTGCAATACTATTTTAAGGGCTTGAGAGTACTTCAAATTTTTTTCAAAGCAATTGCAATTTATGTCGTGATCGTGATGTTATTCTTTTATTTTAGAAAACAACACTAGCAGCGAATGCGACAGCAACGAGCGTGGTATGTGGTCTGTGCAAAGATTTTGAAATGTATGTGTGAAACTTAACGATTCGGAAGCGTTCAGGTTCGCCGTGCGCTTCTCATGCAACCAATGAGCGATAGCAAAAGGACTGTCCTCTGAAGCAATTTGTTGTTGGATGAGGAATCAAGATCAAAGCTCAGACAGATTAGATGCAAAGCGGAGGAGTAAAAGCCTAGAGGAGTGTCATTTTCCCAGCGGGCCTCAGCTTGTGGAAGGAACTACCGAGCGCCAGAATTCACTCACCAATTTTCTGAGCTTTAATATATTGAGTGGTCTGTGCGGGCGCCGTCTGTACAACAAACTAAATGGCAGTACAGGACAACAAATACAGATAATCACGGAAGCTACCAAGGAGTGTCCACTAACCTACACAAAATCAAAACCAATTGCCGAAACTGTTCCTTCCACATCCAAAGCTCTGCCCAAAAGCTTACCCAGCCCGCAGGAGCCATCAACAGTCTATGACGGTACATTTGAAACTACCCGCAACGAAGGCCAGTCCATATTTAGCACAGAGAGCAGGCAGCGAGCAGGAACACTGCTGTCAGGACGCTTTAGCCGCAACCAGCAAATCACATCCAGTCATTATGGACTATTTCACCATCAACAGAACCTAAATCATACACAAAAGTACAAATTAGGTGGTATACGAAGAGGCACACCACCGCCAAGTGATTTCATTTATGACTTCATAGTAAATGACATCGAAGGGGCTCCACAATCCACTGCGAATAATCCAGCAAATTTAAAGTTTGATAGCGTCTATTGGGACCATAATTCGAAACAAAGCACAGAGTCAAATAGATGCACAAACCCGAGTAATGAGAAATCCCGTACACTAGTTAAAAGCTCTGTAAGCGATGATCGTGAATATTCATTTAGACGGAATTCACCATTAAAGAGCAATGCTCGCTCACTTGATAATCAGATTAAGTCTCGCTCAATAAAGAATTGCCTTTGGTCGGAGAGAAGACGTCATTACTGGCCTCTCCAATTAAATAGGCCAGTCGAACAATGCCCGTTGTTTTGTTTAACGACTACACCTGTCCTAATTGATGCTGTTGTTAAACAAAAAGCGGAAGCACCCCAGCAAGTAATTCATGCATCGAAATCATTGTCGTTAAGCAGCGAAAATTGTGTCTCAGACTTAAGGTACAAAAAGCAGAAATCATTGCCACATTCATTGAACTTAACAAATGCCGAAGACAGCGATTCAGTCATTGCCGCTCAGACATTTTATAACGATGAACCAGAGCCCGAGCTAAACATTACAAATAAAAGCGAAAGCGAGAATTCGTCCATTGAGGTGGAAAGCAACAGCCGATTTGAAACAAAGCCTAGAGGACGACTCGAACGGCAAAACGAGCTGCAAAGTAGTTTATCTGTTGGCTCGAACGCCTCTATATACAGCGAGCGTTATGGGACAGCGGTAGAGGTCCTAGAAGATGCATCATCATCCTATAGGTCAAGCACAATTGGCGAATTTATCTCACATCTAGAGCTGTACGAATTTCAAGAAGCAGGTGCGGACAAGAAACAAGAAACGCCGAGCTCTGTGGCGACCGGTCCCCCAAATCTAGTGATGCCCATGTCATATAACGCCGAACCATTAAACAATTTTGCTCAACCGGGCCTCTCATCCAATGCATCCTCCTTCATATTACCCAAAAATTCACCAGCTGTTGGTATTCCCGAGGGCGGCAAAGAAACAGGCGCAGCAACAGCAGCATCTGTCTTGTCATCGGTTTCAGTTTCACCAGTGCAATATAATAATAATAGTGGCATAAAAGATACCTACAAACCAAACTTATCGGCAACAGCTCTCAATAATAATAACGGTGGCAAACCCTGCAATAGCTCAACTGTGATCCAGTTTAATAACAACATTTTCAGAGTAATGGTTGGCACACAACAGAACAGTAATCATATACGTTTGCCAGGTACATCGATTAGGGATGCCAGTACATTTACCGGCGACTTGGATGCCACATCGATCGATATGCAAATTGGCAAACAGCCATCACCAACAATGCCCCAAATAGACAGTGTTCACATAAATCCCAATAATTTGACTCATCAAAGCTGTGTAGGAGGTATGGGAGATACTTATTATAGTAGCAGCTTTAGCTCGGCCATGTTCCCGGATGTGTCATCAGCCCATAGGAAACTGCATTCACAAACTCAGCCGCCATCGCAGGAGTTTTCTAGCTACATTGGAGACAGCAAAAGCTTAGATCACGCATCAAGTACAGATGGATGTGCGGTCTCGAGGTCCATTCAAGGTAAGGATTACATAAATTCCAAAAACAAACGCGAAAGTAACTAACTTCTATTTACGTGTCTGATGTGTATGATTCTTATTTTAGCTGTCTCTCTACAAAATGTTAACTCAACGGCCACATCGAAAACAGAAATTGTTAAAAATCCATCAGTTGTAGTTCCGGTGCCACTACCACCTAAAGAATCGTCATTGAGCTCAGCAGGCAGTGCTGCTGCAGGATCTGGAGCTGAGTCTCTGGCACTGGTCAAACAACATTCAGTAAAAGCTAGTGATCTGTACTCATTTCATGAGCAAATCATAATGTCTGGTCAGCAAAAGAGCGCACTACAGGAAAAGCCCAAGGCCCTTGTCGTATCACCACAGCAAGTTATGATCCTTTATATGCACAAACTAACACCATACGAGCGCACTGAAATACTTGCCTATCCGCAAATTTACTTTATTGGGGCCAATGCCAAGAAACGTCCGGGCATCTATGGACCAAACAACTCTGACTACGACAATGAGCAAGGTGCTTACATTCATATACCGCACGATCATGTCGCGTATCGCTACGAAATGTTAAAGATTATTGGTAAAGGTAGCTTCGGGCAGGTAATCAAGGCGTACGATCATAAAACCCACGAGCACGTCGCCTTAAAAATTGTACGCAATGAAAAACGCTTCCATCGACAGGCCCAGGAGGAGATACGGATTTTGCATCATCTGCGCCGTCACGATAAATACAACACCATGAACATTATACACATGTATGACTACTTCACCTTTCGCAATCACACATGCATCACATTCGAGCTCCTGAGCATCAACCTTTACGAACTGATCAAGAAAAACGGATTCAAGGGCTTCAGTTTGCAGTTGGTGCGTAAATTTGCTCACTCGTTGCTTCAGTGCTTGGATGCGCTGTACAAAAATGAGATTATTCATTGTGATATGAAGCCGGAAAACGTACTATTGAAACAGCAGGGACGATCCGGCATTAAGGTAAGCAGCTGAACTCTGATATTTAAAATAGTTGTGAGAATGCATGAGAAAAGAAAATGCCGAAAATAATACCAAATGTTCCACCTCCTATTGGCTAAATTATTTTCATTTATTTTAAGGTCATTGACTTTGGCTCGTCGTGCTTTGAAAGTCAACGCGTTTACACGTACATACAGTCGAGATTTTATCGAGCGCCCGAGGTAATATTGGGCGCTAAATATGGCCGAGCCATTGATATGTGGTCTTTGGGATGTATTCTGGCTGAGCTTCTTTCGGGCCATGCTCTGTTCCCTGGAGAAAACGAAAGCGATCAGCTAGCCTGTATTATCGAAGTGCTTGGCATGCCCAGTAAAACTTTGTTAGCCAATTCGAAGCGTGCGAAAACGTTTTTCAGCCCCAAGGGTTATCCTCGCTATTGCACAGTGCGCACAACATCTGATGGCATGGTCGTTCTCATCGGTGGACAGTCGCGCCGCGGCAAGCCACGTGGTCCTCCATGCTCGAAAAGTCTATCCAAGGCTCTGGATGGTTGCAAAGATCCGCTATTTCTCAACTTCATTCGCGGCTGTCTGGAGTGGGACGCAGATAAGCGATTAACGCCCGCTGAAGCCTTAAAACATCCTTGGCTGCGTCGTCGCTTGCCCCGGCCCCCGAGCAGCACTGGGGGACCAAGCAGCATTGGCGGCGGCAGCGTGAGCGGTGATCAATCACCCGTAACAGGTAATCCGACCATCAGAGGGATTGATAATTCCATGTTACTGACTCATTTGTTCCATTGCTAGGTATTAATCCGAATTGTGCAAATGAAGCGGCGACCTCGTCGGCTGCCTCGTCGATCATGGAAAGGGAGAACAGCAATTGTAGTGGACGTGTCAATCACGGTGGCATTACCGACAGTGAATTCAAACGTAGCACTAGCATTTCCAGCACTGAAGCATCAGCTACCAATGCAGCTGTGGCCGTCACCTCAGCGGCCGATATGCTCTCTGAAAGCTTCAGCAAAGCGATGGTCAAATGCCCAACCACAACGGATGGGATGCCTTTGATGCCCGGGCACTCAACTACTGACTGTACCACATCAAGTGGACCCATTATAAGCGCCTCTAGTAATATGGGCGTTGCCGTGGGATCCTCTAGATTTCCTTCATCTTTGTCATACTGGACGCACGTGGGATCCAATGGAACAACCGAACGTAATTAGCATTAATTGCTTGTGAGTCCAATTATATATTGATGGGTATGTTTTCAGGTAGAACCGCAGCCGGCAACATTAACAACTCGTTAAAAGGCGCCACAAATCTAGCAACACTATCGGCACAATCTCTATCGCACATGACGGACCCCAGCACAAAGCCCCTTGCATTCTCTTTATACGCTGCTTCGACCACACCCATTTTAGCAACAGCTGCAGGCTCTGCTGCACCTGCTGCCACCATAATACATGCCACGGATCGCGACCTAGACGCAAACAATCATGCAGGGTCCTCATCTCACACACCGCCGTTACTTGATTGCTTTAAAACATTTTCGATTGACAAACCCATTAGTAGTACCAGTACCTTACACAAGTTGAATGCCCCATCCAAGGATATGTAGCAAACTTTCGGCAATGTTCTGCTACGCATCTGAGCTTTTAAAGGATTTCGGCAGCACTCCCTACGTTGTTACACAATCCATTTTAAAACACACTGCCATACAAGTGATAGACTTAAGAGGAATTTACATTTGCATTGGTCCCCCTGGTCCGTGTGTATGGCGTATTTTTCGCAGTTCCAAGCTCTATAGTATCACACACACTCATACGAACACGCACACACACATACATGCGCATACATACATAACTACACGCATAGGCTCACACGCGGAAAAGATCTCAAGTCTGTATGAACTGCAGACATACGAAATTTAGACATTTAAAAGTAAAGAATGCAACGCATTTGTATTCATTTCAATGGGATAGTATGGCAGGTTTTCAAAAAAAGAAGAGAAAAGAAAGAAAACAAAAATTAGCGTAAAGCATATACGATAAAATATTCAAACACCACCAACTCCAACTTCACCTCCATCACCACCACTACCACCTTCGCATCCATTGGCTTTATAGCAAAAGAAAACATAAATAGTAGAGAATACAACCATATAGAGAGATTAGCCTAATTGCAAACCCCTTTAATCGCACTTCATCATCTATTCCTATACATTTCTATAGCTTTTCGTTCCATTTAATGCATTTTTGAGGCGTGCTGCCATTAAACCCGCGCTCCTGCTTTTTTCTGCCAATCCTGACGCCCAATACTGTCTATACATATATTTAATTATTTGTAGTTTCTTTTTTATTGGGCAACACGGCTGTTTATATTCATATTTTATTTTTTTTAGAAAAAAGATACATGATTATCTTTAGAAGTGTATGGTTAACTGAAAGCAGAACAGAACATCGAATTAAGCATTACTCAGAACTCGGATTAGAGTCAGCTCAGACCCTCTGCACATCAAACTTTCACATACATACATAAATACATATGTACATGCAATATAGTTCATATACATACATGCACACATGTATGTGGTTGACAGCCCTTCCTCCCCCCAGATGGGTTGACAGTTGCATTAAAAACAAAAGTATAAAATCAAAGTAATCGTTATATAGGTCGGAACGAATAAACCACAAGCCGCCACATTAAAAAGAAACAAAAATTTACAATTTATTTATTATTAAACAACAAATAAATTCAGTTAAAGTTCAAGTATTAACGAAGATGAATTAAATTGTATACATAAAAGAAAGAATATTGACTTAAAAAATATTCAGTAACTCGAATGCGTTTAGTCCGCATTAGATTGAACGAGTATGTATACACAGACGTACATACATACATACATACATGCATACAATAAAAATGATGAGTACAGTTACGTACATACATATAGATACATAAATATTTTAGTGTTCAACTTTTCTGTGTATTTGGTTCCTTTATATTTCAGTTGTAAATATTTTAAGTTTTATTTAAGGACGTACTTATACATACATATATATATATATAAAAGAAAATAATGCATAATTAGTCATTTCAACAGTTAAATAAAGTGTTAATGATCAATTATCGGCAATTGTTACTAAAGGATTCTTCGTAGACGGGAATATACTGAGTAACGTTATACACACACATATGTATATTATTATTATTATAAGTTTTTGTTCCACATATGAAATGAATTTCCGAAAGAGGAAAAGCTCTAGATTTTAGGTCGATACTGTGCAAAATTCGACTAGAAGTTGTTTTTGTTCCCATCCAACCACTCCCCTGCTCTCCCTGTCGCCCTAAAAAGAAACGGAAGAACCGAAATTACAGGTGGATCGCATAACGATTGCATGGCCGAAATGTTGAAATGCCGTCGCCGCCAGCCAAAGGAGACTATGCAGAAAAGCTCTGAAAAAGTTTTTGATAGCTTTTCAACACTGTGTGTATCTTCCAAATAAAAATGGCCGAGAATTCGTACGCATGTTGCATCTAATTGCGGATCGTACACGAACCGTCTGCGTCAATCGGGAGGGACTACAGTGGTTTCTTAGGTTCGGTTCTGGGCAGTCGATTCGGCCGAAACGGGAGCGCAACGTATTTGAGTTTCAATTTTTCAAAAAGTATTTAACTGCGAAACGCCGCACCAATCAAAAAGGTTTGAAATACATACACACATATGCAAATATCATAACTAAATTAATTTGTTGTGGTGTTGAAGTTTTACCAAAAAAATTGTTTCGCGTTCAAAACTATTCACACATACTGGTAAAAGTTGCATGGCCTAAAAACGAAAATCTGTGGAATTTCGAAACATTTTTTAAGCGTACGTACATACATATGTATGTATGTATATAGTGCACATACTATACCTATGTATATAGTTGGTATTAAAAACTCTATGTACGAACGAGTATGTACATTTGTTTTGGTTGAGATTCCTTAGTTTGGCTTGACTTTTGGGGTAGGCGTTTGTAAGTTTTCCGAAACGGCAGAGAAAACCGTATATTTTTTGTACCTCATTTGATGAGTCGGCTCACACACATACACAGAGACGCAAATTTATACGCAACGGGCCTTAAAAAACAAAGCAAAAGCAAAGGAAGGAAAATAAAAATGAAATTGAAAAGAAAACAGTCGTAATACACTCACCCAAACGGATAAAAACGCACACAGAAAAATGTGGCCCAAGTTAATATTAGTACGAAAATAGAACAGAATTTCTCGATTGCAACTAGCGAATGGACAGGCGGACCGACGGAGAGACAGCACGCCTGACGGACACTTACATGCAGGGTTGGGGGTAGGGGATGTGGTTGTGGTTGTGGTTGGGATAGGTGTGTGCGTTGTGTGGGCCAAATAGGCATACCTACACCTACATATTCCTGCATATTTATGTATGTATGTACATACCACCTAGGTATGTGGCATGTCCGAGTTCAGCATGCATATGTGCCACACACTCTCTTACACACACATGAGATCGCGTGTGGATGCAAATGTGTATGGGCCAGGTGAACAAAGCTGCCATAAATAAACATACCACATACCAGCCAGAGGAGGAGGCGCCCCACGGCCCACGGCCCACTGCCCACGCCCCCCAAAGCCAAATTCAATTACTCAGCCATTGCAACTTTGCATCCGTATCTAAAGCTGTATTTGTATCTGCATCTACATACATACATACATCTGCAATAGCGAGTGTGAAAAAGAAGAGAAACAAGTGTAACAACCTTAAGTAAGCAGATAAAAAAGAACACACACTTTCCCATTTTCTCTCCGGCAGGCTGAGTGACGAAATGGAAAGCAAAAAGGTGAGTAACATCCAGAAAGAACAAAGAAACCCAAAGAACTACCCCAGCAAGTTTCTTGACCTCATTCTGCATTAATGAAAAACCATATACTAGTACAAGTAATAGGAGTTATTCGAATGTTTTTTCGTTTTTGTTTTGAAAACATGAAATTTAGTTAGCGGCATAATAAAACATCATTATTGTTATATCATTCTATTTTGGTACCAACTTATCATCGGTTTTTATATTCGTTCGGTTTATGTTGCCGAAGAGCCTAAAAAAAAGTCCCCAAGCTAGTTTCTTGACCTCATTCTCCATTTGTGCTAGACTATATAGTAGGACTTAACTCGTTCAACGCTGATTTCTAAATATTGAAGTGCTTTATTCTGAATGAAAATCTGACATTCATTTAGCGGCATAATAAAACATCATTATTGTTCTATCATTATATTTTGATATTAACTTATCGTCGGTTTTGTTACCAAAGTCCCCGAAGAAGTTTCTTCACCTCATTCTCTAATAATGCTTAACTATACATATAAGATGAATAATATCGTTCAATCCTGCTTCCGAAACACTGAAATGCCGTATTTTGAATGAAAACCTGAAGTTCATTTAGCGGCATAATAAAACATCATTATTGTTATTTCATTCTATTTTGGTATTAACTTATCATCGGTTTCTGATTTTCCGTCGGTTTATTTTGTCGAACTTTGCCAAAAATAAAACATGGGGGCACAGGTAGAAAAACAGAAACAGAAAAACTGAGTAACGAGCAGATTATTAATGTATTGCACTTCATGATGCTGGTCAATAAATATACATAGTATATATAGATATATTTATATACAATATAAATAGAGTGGGCATTAATGTGTGTGTTCGTCCGAATGGATTTTTCAATTACCAATAGTATAAGAGTGTTATTAATGCCGAGGAGGAGCATTTGATGACGATGTCCACAACAACATCAACGAAAACGGTGAAGAAGTCTTTGAAAACAACAAAGACAAAACAGAGTTTAGAAAAATTGTCCTCGAAAGAGTCGAAATCAGAGACCATTAGTAGCACCAATGCCCAGGAATTAGGTATGGATACTGTAGATGCAACAGCGGCAACGACCCCCCCAACTCCTCCTACACCGACCGGAGAGGATGCTCAGGCTAGGAAAAAGGTGAAATCGAAGAAATCGAAAAAATGTGAATACGACAATCAAAACATCTCTGTGGTAAGTACTTCTGTGGCAATCAATCATAATTTAGATAAATTCAAATATATCCTTTTTTTTTTTACAAAATTTGTATGAAACTAAAACAATGTTCTTTATTGTTAATCTATCTATTTTTCTTTCTGTCTATCTGTCTTTCTTTCCCGATATGGGAATTCGGGCTTACACTTTTCACATAATTGAATTTAAAATGATTTTGAATTTGTTTCTGGTCATATGGGAATGGTATTAATAGAATTTTGGCTCCACCTTATCTTACCTTTTACATACAATATTAATCTAAAGCTATGTACTTACAGAAAACCAGTTTCAATAAGTTTGACGCCCTCCAGAAACGCAATCTAATCCATGTACGTTCAAGCGACTCGGGTAAAGCCCAAGAAATCTTCAGTGTAAGCAAATCATTATTTAACCAAAACATTCAACATCACGTCTACCAAACGTAGCCCATTAATATCCCAAAAACCAAAGACACGATCATTCCATTCAATGTTATGTGTTATTTATTTGATTGTTCCACCTTTGAATTCGTGTAGAATCCGCAAGATGAGCAACAGACCAGCTGCCGGTTGTGTAATAAAGCCGTATACAAAATGGAGGAAGTCAAGGCTGAAAAGGGAATCTATCACAAGACCTGTTTCCGTTGTCACGAGTGTTCGAAACAGCTGAAGTAAGTCCGATTAGTTTCTGTCCTCATGGACCTATACAATTACCGATGTTCCAATGTTTTCAGATTCGACAACTATCAAATTCACGAGGGTACCCTCTACTGTACCGCTCATTTCAAACTACTGTTTGCGCCGAAGGTGGTGGAGGATGTGGACCCCAAACCTCGAAAGGCTGAGCTCATTATACGAGAAAGTCAGCCCGTCGAGTTGCCTCCGGATGTAGTACGAGGTTTGTTATCACATTATCGAAATTCTAACCGCAAATATAATCTACGAATGAGATGAAACGTTTCATTTCTAGCATCCGATAAGCCAGATCTGGGTCTTGAGGAACTGCAACAGCTAAACGTACGCTCAAGATTTCAAGTGTTCGAGGGTGCTGGTAAAAGGAGAGAGGAAGAGGAGCAACAGCTCCAACGACAGAACACAGTGGTCAAGAGGAGCACCTCGATTCTCTCCAAGGTGGCCAAATTGCAGCAGCATGGACTCAATAGCAGCATTGATATGAAATCGGAAACAGCGGAGAATCAGAATCCAGATGAATCGGGGTCGGGCAGTGAGAATAGCGATTCTGATATTGAGAACGTTGACGATAATGTGGAAGATGCAGATCTGGTGCGTTCGAAGAGACGTACCCAGAAGGAGCGACCCGTTGGACTGGGAGATGCGATGAACGACATCAAAACCAGATTCGAAACAGGACACGTGCAGTCGAAGGAGGAGAGGCGGGAGGAGCGCAAGCAGGAAATTCAGAACATTCGCTCGCGGCTATTTATGGGAAAGCAGGCCAAATTTAAGGAAATGTATCAACAGGCCGTCGCCGATTCGGAGCAGTCCATCACTTCGGTTGGCAAGAAGCCCGAAGTTGAAATTGGGGCAGCCGCTCGTTCCATAAAGGAGCGCTTCGAGAAGGGCGAGATGTTCAATGAGAAAGGCGGCAGCTCCAATTTGTCCGAAGATGCTGATGTGTTTGAGTCGGGTATATTGGCATTAGAGAAAACAATAGAGATTTAAGCTAATTCATTGACTTCTCCCCCCGCAGCTATCAGCAAGAGGTCTCGCAGCATCTTCATGGAACTCGATGCCAATGCGGAGGCTAATGGAGAGGCAGCCACATTGGATGCACAAAATGAATTGAAGAAAAATCGATCGGGCCTGCTGAGGAAGAGCAACAGCCAAGTTGAACGAGATGTGAGTAGCAAGCACCACATATGTAGACTGTTTATTACAATGTGTGTGTATTTTTAATTAGAATGCCAATTATTATTGTTATCTTTATTATGTGTGTTGTCTTCCCCGTTAGACCGCCAACGGCAATGACCAAAACAATGTCGATGTTGTGAAATATGACGAGAAGCCCGAAGATGTAAAAATAGCAACATCGGAGATAAGTGAGAAATTTAAATTCTTTGAGACCTATCGGCCTAATGAGGGCGAGAAGCGCAAATTTCGCATGACACCGCCTCGAGAGGGGGTTGTCAAGATGCCAACATCGGATTCGGACTCTGACGAGCCAGAAAAATCAACGTTCAACGATAATGTTCTGCAAAAAACACAAACCACCTCAACCATGCTTAACAAATTTCGGGAAATGGAGCAGAAAAAGTTCAAAGGGAGCAATGAATCAAATGGACCCAAGCCACTTAAGTGCTTCACTCCACCACCAGAGGATAGACGTCGCTATTACGACAACCAAAATAGCGAGGACGACGAGAGCGAGGAGAGCAACAGTGAGGACGAAAGTGCCAATGAGGACGAACCGCAGGAGTTTGCAAAATTAAGTGCCAATGACGAGGCCCTTAAAGAGGTATGCTACAAGGTCTACGAAAGAGAGAGAGAAGTACTTAGTAGAAACTATTATTATTATTATATCCTCATAGGCCCAAAATGCAGCCCGTGCCAAAAAGCTGCGTGCCAAGTTCGAAAAATGGCAAGCGAACGAAATTCAACGCGAACTGAATGAGGGCCATGTGGACATTTATTCTCAGCAGGTCTCCGATGACTCAACAATTGAAAGTACAAAAACGTAAGTCTCTATATCAAATGTTTTAATTGGCATTTGACATTGACCTTTCACAATAATGTTTATTTCTGTTATTATCGGACACAGCATTCGCGAGCGGTTTGAGAATATGAAGAACTTTGAGAGGAAATCGCCCAGTGGTCCTCGGTATCAAGTTAATCGATTTGTCGTAAGCAAACCCATAGTTATTAATTGAAGCATTTGTAATTGGTTTTTTTTTTGTTTTTGTTTTTAAATTTTTAATAGTGAATTATTCGCTGTAGAAGCATCTCGTCAATATTGGTTAGACGACGTCCCACTGCATTGGGTCAATGTGCCACCAAATAAATAAAATAAATAATTTATCCTTTAGATTTTAATAGTCTTGTAGGGCGAGAGCCCACCGCACTAACACCACTGCGTCCAAGGTAGTGTTGAGGGGTTCTGGGCTCGATGACCAGCATGGAGCAACGCAAACGCCACTGGGACAATATTTTATATGTATACATGATTCATTTTTAATGTGGCAAATACAATTTGATATCTTATTCTATAGCTTTATCCATAAATTCCAGGAATCGTTTGGCATATTGTTCAGGATCACATGTTGATATTCCATCAACATTACTACCATATTTAACGGTCTTGGCTGCTTTTGCCGCCTACAAATCAACGTATCAAGAGATTAGACTCATCAACTATTGTATAAGGGATAGAAATTACCTGCTTTTTGACGCCATACTGAGTTAGAACATCAATGATAGCTATGAAATAAATTTCGCGTCTTTCTGCAAAACATACATACACCAAATGCATAAAGTTGTAAAACAATTTAGAATTAAACCAGTGAGCATTTCTTACCTTCGATACTTGGAATGGCATATATGTCGACTTCATAAACAACTTCCTTATACTGGGCACCTCTAGGCGAGTCCGGAGGAGTGTTGTACGTCCAGCTTTGAAAAGTTTACATATTATTGGCAATCATCATTTAAGAAATTCTAACAAACTAGCTTAGTATATAGGCACGGTTTTGATCTGCTAGCGCGCTCTCACTCACACTCGCTCTAAGTATTTATCATGCTATCCTTTTTCTTCGAGCCAAATCTTATCATAATTTAGGAATTAAGTGACCCATAGCGCATTACATGCTAGAATATTAGTCAGATTCTATCAAAATAAAAAATTACTTTGAACCTAATCATTTAATTGAATGTTTGATTAAAGCTAACAAAGTGCCATGAATTGATATAACTTATAAATAAATAAAGCCGAAGCTCTTTAGAGTTTTTGCACAAACGCCACTTAATAAGTCGCAATAAACGCCGCAATCATATTTTCACTGCAATATTTATGAAATTGCTATCATTTTCAAATAATCGATATGTATTATTTTAAAAATAGATGAGCATTTGTGAAACATTGCAATGAGTAGATGCGATTGCCGAATTCATTGGTATCAGTGTAAAAATTCTATTGAAATTCTCTGAATTATACATATACATATATAAGGAGTACAGATTTACATACCATCTTTACCCATTCCATGGGAACAGTATATAAACATATTAAGGAAAGTTGACAAGTAGTTCTTAAAATTATTTACGCTTACCGTTCGCCACTATCGCATTCCTCGCTCTCGCTATTTTCGCTGCGTCCTGTCGCTTGCGCACTGTCTCCTTGCAAAGCCTCTTCTTCGGCACGTACACAGTCGTGTATGCCAACCAACAAAGAATAGTCCATGATGTGCAACTTTGTTAGGAGCTGTTGGTTAAAAATATAATTAATAAACCGATATATGTTTACAGCTGAAAAAAAGCAGGACACCCATAACTACATAGGCACCGAAAATGTATCTACAGTTTGGAAAAAAAGTCTAGTTTTACAACAATTGTATGCAACAGTTTAGTTGTATATGATGAATAGGGTATGAATTTAAATGTAGGCGGGTTAGACGAATTTAGATATTGGCTATCAACTATAAAACTCTGATTGCACAGTTTGTTGTTTGATCTGGTGCTTACATCAACATCATTGTTTAAAGTGTCCAACAATTTCTTCTTGGGTTCCTCCCCAATTTCCAACTTTATTTTCTGTTTAATAAAGTCATTATCCTTGTATGTGGGCAAGTGTTTTTCTAGCTCCTTGTCGGAGGCCTCACGATCCACAGTGCTGCCCTTTAGATCGAATTTTCTGCAATATTTATGAAATTTTCAGTAAAGTAGTGAACAACGATTTACAAGTATTTACAAGCCACTTACTTGTGAATGGTCAAATGAGAGCTGAATACGTTTCTCATTACGACAAAGTAATACTGAACGCTCTCCACGGTGATGCGGTACATGCCTAAGTATTGCGGCAATAGAGTCTTGCCGTGTCGCTCGACAACGTACTGTAAACAAAAGGCGGATTGTTAAATTGTTATGTTTTTTCAAAATATTGTGATTGTATTATTTACTGGATGGTAATGCTTGAGAAAAGCATGCATGCGCTCGATTTCCTCCGAAGTGAGGCTTTTGATGATGAAAAATTTGTCATAGCTCTGGTAAAATTGTGCTCCAGACTTGCCGGACGAGTCAATGCGAACTGGCTGCGACCGAGTAAGTGACTCGCGATAATCAACATCGTCTACACCAAATCGCTCGCGCAAATTGCGAAATACTAGGGGGCAGTACTCCTTCACCTTGAAATGTGACGGCATATTTTCTCTGTAAATGCATATATAAGGCAATTAAATTATATATGTATATGGGCGACGCACGATGGTGTGTCAGGGCAGATGTCGCAATTGTTCTTACTTGTTGAATAAATGATTATCGACTTTTATTTTGGAATAGGCCCTGAAGTCATCTGGGAGCAGCATCACTGGTATGTTCACATGACTCAATTCGTTTATCTGAAATATTTACTCTAAATTAATGGCACTTTTAGTGCAGGTGGGGTTGCCCCGGTACATACAGTATGATTTATGCCCCACATAAAGACGCTTAGAATCGGCTCATTTGCTCGGAATAGTTTCACCTTTTGGTGCTTAACACGGAAATGCTTTTTCTTCAAGATGCGCGGCTGCGACGAGGACGAGATCTTTTTATCCATGTCTCTGGCTGGCTAATGTTGGTTTGCGTCTGCTCGAAAAAGCCAACAATTAAATATTGTTCTTCTAGCACGGGCACTCACAAATTTTATGGTATGTATGTATGTACATATGCATGTATAGTATGTATATCCATACATATACATATTGTATTGCTGCATGTATATGCATATGCATATGTATGTGTGTGCGTGTGAGTATGAAATGCTTTTGCATATCGAACTTACATCAAGTTAAGCAAAGTTAAGACTAATTGTGAGTCCTTTCATGTGGAACATTGATTTTGATTGTGCCCAATTGTTAATCAAATTATTTATCAATTCAATGAAAACCAAAATCACTAATGCAGTTTTTCACGCAGATATTCTATACACAATTTTCGCGATTACGATAACTACCATAGAAAAGGTAGCCCAGGAATCGCATTATTCGATCTAAAAGTTATCGGGTGTGTAAGTGTGCAGTGTTGTACAACTTGGAATCAACCCGAGTTTTTCCATATGTGCGTATCTATGTGTACGTACATTTGGGTATAGCCATTAGATACATACATATGTATGTAGATATTAATGTACTATCTAGTCACAGGACTCTACCAATGCTAATGCCAGGGCTTATGCCCTTATGTTTCAGGGTATCAGGTACATTTCATTCTGAAAACGTTGCTCATCTCTAAAGTAAATACATATACTTATAAATATGTATCTATGTATATATACATGTGCATGTGTATACATATATTGATCATTGTTACTGACTACTGGTTTTCTCACTTCTTTTGAAAGCTCTTTCCCATAATAGCCCTAACCCGTGTGTCTGTAGTCGTTTGTGGACTCGCCTACAGCTGTGACGTGCTAGTGGAAGTGGCTCTTGCGAAAATGTCGCAACGTATTCAATTAGGTTCAATCACTTACTGATTACTAATTGCTAAGGACGGACACCAACACCAAAGAGATCGTGTTGTTGTTGTTGTTGCCTGTGCGCCAAATATTTAAATTCACAAGATCACTATAAACTTTGCACCTCTTACTCGTCCGCTTGAAGTTGGAGTCGGCGTAGCGATGGCCGAGTCCGGTATTGATTTGGGCTACGACATGGCGATCGATTTAAACTATCTTCAAGATTCGGATATGGACTTTTTAACAAATGTTACAGTTGCTGGACGTAATTCTGGAGATGTAGAATTCTATGAATTGAAATCAAAAAGCTCTCTACCGGAGGAAAAGTGAGTAAATTTACAAATTTAAGTAAATAATGTGCGAGGTTGATATGTACATACATACATACATATATATGTATACCGATAGATACACACATACATATAAGCAAACGACATGCGCACACAAACACATAGCCGCTTCACCAATTTTATTTTGCGCATGATTAACGCTCTTTTGATATCTTATCAGCCAATGGGGATTTATACAACGTTCTTTCGAACGGGTTTTGTCGCTGTGTGCGTCTGGCTGGGCTGTCTTTACAGCTGATACCTCTACCCTAAAAATCAAAATGCGTGTAGGACATTTAATCGCACATTCATATTTATACGTTATAAACTTATAAATGTATGCATGTAGATATGTATGGATGTATGTTTGTGCATGCATGTCTGTATGTGTGATAATTAACAATGTCCGAATGCTTGCAAAGTGTTCGAGCTGACGTGAATTCGACTTCAGCCACTTGGACACACACTGAGCTTTGCCTGGCTATAGGCACGCGTTCCAATACATATGCATGAATGCACATACATATGTGCTAATTAAACTTATATAAATATAATATTTGTGTGTTTATGGGCGCTTCGTTTTGTACATATGTACATACATATATAGTATATACATAGTTAGTCCCCAGCGGTAACAAACTATAAGAACCGTTAGGCTAGCAGTTAAAACGATCGACAACTGGCAACTCTGGAGAGCATTACTGAGGATATCTCAAATGAAATTTTGGCACCAGTGGCAACCATTTAAATCGAAATACGTTACAGAAACCCTGACACAGAGGGAGAGAAAGAGAGACGAAAGCTCATGGTAGTGCGCATGTGCCATTAATAGCCAAAATATAAGATCGGGCATGGTATATATGTATGTACACATCGCATATATATTCACCATAATACACATATTCACAAATGGTCCGGCATGTTTACAGGGCTACCGAATCTGAATTATCATATCAAACTTGAACTGCATATATAGAGAAATTGCGCAGAATCTGTAGGCATTTCAATTATTTGTAGTGGTATATATACAATAATTTTAGAAATTTTTGGTTAAGCAGGCGAGCAGACACCCTGTATGGGCACCCGCTATAATTATGTTGGTTGTCGCTGGTGTTTTGTCGGCACTCGTTTGTACTATTCTGGCTAGAATACACAAGATCAAGGTCTTCGCGGTGCTTTGTACTCTCAAGGGGTCGAAAAAGAGGATTTTAAATACATTTGTTTTGCTCACTAACTTTGCCCAAATCGTTGACAGATTTTAGAGTGGCTGATGGAACGTTCGCTGCTCTTTAGGAAATTCGTTATTAGTGTATCCAAGTTAGTTCGTGTGTGAAGTGAGCGCTAGACAGAATACTAAAAAAAAGAGGAAAATAGAATACACATTGTGGACACACATTTTTTTTAATGATCGATTGAGCGATCATGTTCTCCTACTGGGGTAAGAAAAATACCCAGCCCGCTCAAATGGGCGGGGATAGAGGTACGGAAAAGAATACGTTAACAATTGGATCGAACGAAAACCAACAACAAACATACGATATGCCAGCCCAGAGCCACGGATCAACGGAAACGACGGATGTAGCGGACACAGCAACATGGGATGCGGATGTGGGCGACACACAAACGGCGAAGCAATTGTCACCCACACCTGAGAATCGTCAACACGAATTTCAAGAGTTTTTGAGGCGTGTGCAGACACTGCACATTCCCCGTGAAGGCACAGACACAGTGCAAGCGCCACTTCCGGATCATATGGCGCTAAATGATGGTTCAGCCATAGAGGTGGGCGTGGAACCATCGACGCTAATGGATTTTGATGAAAATAGCGATACTTGCGTCACAACAGCTGGACCATCAACAGCAAATCAGATACATCCAGCGGCCCTTGAATCTCAATCAGCGTCTAGGCCATGGGCAAATAGCGAAAAGTCAGCGCCTACGACAAACATCAGAGTTACCGTTGGCATAGACAAAGATTTGGAAATGATTCTCGAAATGGATCCAAGTATTGTAGATTTAGGTGATATTTCGGCGACTGAAGCGACAGAACCGCGCGTTGTAGGCCTGCCTCCGCTTACAGGAGGGTAGGTATAACGCTCCAATATTAAAAACTATGCATATATAGATTAACAGATAATACGCTACCAGCGCCCACACACAAACTAATACTGAAATTTCAATGCCTGTTCTACTGATTCTCTCCATTCTACCCTCTTCTTTTTTTTTTGTTCTAGACCAAATTTCAAGAACGTGGTCACTACGTCCCGCACCCAACTGAGGCTCGCCCTCCAGCGCGAACAGCAACAACAACAGCAAATGCAAAATGTTTGTGTGGGAGGACCATCGGATGTCATGGGCAATGGCAATAGCAATGGCAACAGCATGTGCGATAGCACTGCCTCCAGTCTGGATCAAATACTTATGCAAAAGGATCGCATGCCCACCTCAAGCCCAGTGCCGCTCAAAGTACCGCTGCAAAGCATTGGTGTTGATGTTCCCCCTCAAGTGCTGCAGGTGAATAAACCGTTAACCAAAGCGTCATCCACTCCACTTGATATGTAATTGCTAATGAACCTTTATTTGTTGTACAGGTTAGCACTGTCCTCGAGAATCCCACCAGATATCATGTTATACAAAAGCAAAAGAACCAAGTGAGGCAGTACCTTAGTGAATCATTTAAGCCATCGCCTTGGAATTGTCAAAATTTTGATGTAAGTGTGTGTGTTTCGTGTGTGTTGCGCTTGAGGCAATTCTTTTAAACTTGCTTGCTAAAATTGACGAGCCCCCACAAATACCTAAATACATACATATGTATGTATGTATGTACATACATATGTGGAATTGTTAAGGCTTGCCAAAAATTTAAAACGATGTGAAGAAAATTCGTATTTGAGCTCCATTTACCGGAATCGGCTGTCATGTTGCAAAGGGCATTTCACAAAACTCGTATTAAAGTCTGTGCATGGGAATTTAATATTATTGCCACTTTTTATTGCAGAATAAGACCGCAAATACCTCTGCTTCTACCGGAAATCTACAGAGCACAGCTCTAGCCAATAGAGGAGCTCATATAGATCGGCCAAATAGTTTCGGCGGAGATGCTGCCTCAGCAATGAGTAATTTCAACAACTCGCCATGCAATATGCAGCTAACACCACAATCGGGACCGAACTTAAGGATGTCTTTATTATCGGATGATTCGGTCCACAATTCGCCGTTTGGTGGCGGTGGCTGTCCAAGTAGTGGCAGCTGCAATCCAGGCAATCAGTTCTTAATGGCTGGCATGGATCAGAGCATGACAGAGCCAAATGGATTGAAACAGAAGAATCAATTGTTCAACAAACTTAATTCAAACTTGAATTCTTCCGTGGGTGCTCGATCTTCGGCCGGCATCGGAAATGCAATGCGTAATAATAATTATTCTGGAGCTACCACGGCAAGTCCACTGCATTGTACGTCAGCTCCCATGTCTCCGAGTCTGAGTTCGGTGGCCACGAGTGCCTCAGAGGTGAGTCCAAAAAAATGTCAATCCCTAAAATACGTATATTCGCCGCCTTCATCTTTGAGAAATGTTTTTAAATTAAATTGTCTAAGTGTTTTTTCTAAAGTACTTCAGCAATGATATTATTTTAGTGGGTGTGAACGAGAAAGCAGTAGCGTTTAAATTGCGCAAATTCAAAACAGATAAGAAAGTTGTTCAAAAGTTGAGGCGCAATAGTCTGCAAACTTGTTCAAAATTATTCCTATTAAATTACTTTATCTGCAGAATTAGAAGAATCTAATTTTTAGGCATATATTTGCATAATTGCATAATTCTGCTTACAACTTTGCACAAGAGTGTCTAACCACATAGTATTTTGATATTATTCTGTAATTTTCATTTCCATAATTCCATAATTATCCGCAACCGTTGGAGTAAAGTGGTTTCGCGATCTTAACATTTTTCAATTAATCGTCTGATATTGATCCGAGAATTCAACAACTTAGAAGAAACAATAGTATCAGTGTTGGTAATAAAAATGTACTTCACTCCAGATTCTTGGGGCTTTAATCATACAACTGTACTTAGGTAAGATAATGTCTTGCTATATAATTGCAAGCAATATAAATTGACTTCGCTAATTACATTGCAAGAATCAGAATGCATTTTTTGTTTTTACTAACATTAAATACATTTCGAATATACGAACTTGATGAGATTATTCAGTTACAGGAAAGGATTTTTTTGCTATTTGATATGGAGATTATAGTAATTATATATTGCTTGCTATACCTCAATAGATTTATATGCACTTAAACTTAATTTTATATGAAAAACGTAGCCCCTAAAGGCTATACAAAAATATCTTTAGTACACGAAATCCCAATTCGATTTGGTTGACTGTGGTAATGGAAGTTTTTTATATGGCTTTTAAATTACTTTATGTGTCAAAAAAAACAATAATTATACGATCTTTTTTTATAGCTTAAAAAAGCATTCTGGGGGTGAGTCAGACAGGAAAATAATTTGTTTATATAATTGGTCGATTTAGCGGGTATGTCATGAGAAATAGAACTGTAAAAGGTTTTTGCACGTTCCCATTAGAATCCAATTGGCGTTGACTGGACTGGAAATTAACGTCATGGCAGACATACATATGTACATATGTACTTACATACATATGTATGTATGTTATTTTTCTAATGATCAATTATCTATGCAAATTATTTTAGAATGTGGGGATGTGGATTTGTCATACTGTTACTATCGCCGCATTGATGTGTCAAAAAAAAAAAACAACCAAAATAAGAGTACTTATTGCATAAATCGTATTTGGTACGTTTTTTGTTGTTGTTGCTTTTTTCTTTTTAATCAAGTGGCATCCCCCTTTGGTATTTTAAAACGGAGCGTTGCCAGCTCCGAGCGATAAAATTATAACGTCTTTCTGTCAGCGAGTTGGCATGTCCGAAACATTTTAAATTATTGTAAGCAGCGAATGACGGTTAGTAGTAATTCGTATTTCGAGGCAAGTGGAGTTCTCAGCTGTGGTGTCGAGTCATCGTCATCGTCAATCGGCTTTCGCGTCAAATCGCAGCGGTTTTTTGCTCAAATTGAATTCCTAAGCTCAACTTTATAGAGCATTGATGTTTCCATACCTATGCAGAAGAATTGAATTTAAAATTGAAAAAGAACGGAGAGCGAAAAAAGTAACTGCCTTAACTTTGAACTAAAAACTAACTGAACGATTCCTACTTTTTGTTGTTGTTTATTGTTTTTTTTGTTGTTGTGCTGCATTGCGTTCAATTGATTCGCAATGTACCGACGTCGGTGGTAGTGATGCGGATCCGGGCACGGGTCCAGTGAAACGTATTATTAATATCATTTTTTTTTCCGCCATCATAATTGCTGTTATTGTTATTGTTATTATTGTTGTTGTCAGTTATTATAACATACATACATACATACGTACGTACTACAAACATACATACATATGTGGCTGTTGCGGTAGGACAGGCGAGTGAAACAAAAAGACGAGGCAAGGCTTAAGAAGAAGTCCCCCAGATCTCAAACAAATTCCAAAACCAATACCTTCAGTATTTTTGAATTCAAATCGCGTCGCAGTTCACCAAATTGCAAATCACAAATCGTATTCGTAGTCGAAGTCGCATTCGTCACTGCTGTATACTTGTACGAGTATATACACATAATATATGATATATAAAGTCAGAGTGGTCCGAAAAGTGAAATCGAGGTCTGAATGCACGTGCTACCGTGGATATCTGCTACCACACTGTCGCCAAGGCGCAGCCGTCGTGCCGTAACAAAAACTAACGCAACCGGCACTGGGACCGGCATCGGCATCGGCACCGGCACCGGCATTGGCATCGGCATTGGCATTGGTAGCGACACCATCGGTAACGATTCGGCAACATCCAAAATCCTGAGCGGTACAAAGAGCTCTTCGGCCTCATCATCATCAGCATCATCGTCATCATCATCGTCAGAAGGACGGCAAAGCCGACGAAATAATATGCCGGTACTTAGTATTGCAGCTCGTCGTCAAACCAAGGTAACTTAGTTGTTTTGTTTTTCTGCTTGTTTTTTTTTTCTTTTTGTTTTTTTTTTCTTTTGAAATACGCCTATTACCACCACTATGCTATTGCTTGCTATCAGAGCAGATTTGAAGAGGGTTCGGCTGGGCGGGGAGAGGGCCTTTTGGCATGCTAGGGAATTCTAAGCGCGATGCATGCAAGTGGAATATACATACAGATGTTGTTTTTAATTTTCTGTATATGTACACATATACGATATATGAATACAAACATACATACATACATACATACATAATATAATAACATACATACATATCTATACAATAATGGTGAACAGCTGAACGAACGAAGCGACAAAGCGACGATCGACATACGACAACGAATGAACGAACAAATGAACAACAAGTGAGCGAATGCTTGTGCATATTTACGATTAATTATAATTAACAAATATTTGGCCAATTGGTATTTAACGCTTACACATACAGATACAAATGCATAGAAGCATGCCAGCTCAATCAGTTTGAGTGTGTGCGTGTGTGTATTGATATATTGGGTTTACGCTGGTATGATCCATGCCACATATATAAATATTAGCGATCTTTTCGCTGCTTTTTGATGCTTAATTAAGGCGACACGACGCACAACAAAAATGTTAATGAGTACTAAACATAGCGTCATGCACGCACACACACACACATACTCACTGTATGTACATATATAGTATATATGTATATTGTACATATGTATGTATGTACACATATCTATCTATTAACATGCATTGTTGTTGTTTTTATTTTTTATTTATTTTTTGTTTATCATGGATGATAGACACTTAGTAATTATTGTTATTGTAGGAGGAGTAGTTGGGAGCAGTTGGGGGGGGGGGGGGGGGGGGGGGGATGGGAAAGAGTCAGTCTTTGGAGTCTGTGTAGTTACATTTAGCCCTACGATTTGCAAGCAAGTAATAAAAACTCGGATATCTGTTGATGTTGTTATTATTGTTGTTGTTGTTGTTATTGTTATTTTGATTTTATATTAGAAATTTCATTTTGCGAACCGGTTTGCTCAAGAGGTTTAGCTGCTTGAGCATTTGTTGCTGGATTCAAAAAATTACAAAAATAAAAAAGCTCTGACTTTTGCTGTTGCCGATCGCTGCTGCTGCTGCTATCGTTGCCAATAACAACAACAACAACAACAGTAGAGACAACGTCAACGAGAATGTCAATAAATAAATCTGAACAACATTTCAAATCAATCGTCGTTATGTATTTATTGAATTGACCCAAATTGTGAGCAGTTGCCCTTATACACCCAACATGTCGGGGCTTCTACCCTTTTACAAAAAAAAAAAAAAAAAAAAAAAAGAAACAAAAAATATAAATAAATATGTGCCAGAAAAGTAAATGAAAAGCAGAAATCACTTGGCAGAAAAGAAAGAACGAAAAAAATGAACTGGGCTCTTTCTCCTCTTGATAATTCTTCATTCAGAGACTTCTCGCATTTTTTTGTTGTTGTTGTTGGTGTTTGTGTAATTCACATCAAATTTCCCGCATTCTTTGCAGGGTGTGCCTTAAAACGTGTGTATATACATATACACATACACATATACATACATACGTGTATATATGTGTGTGTACTTATTGTTGATTTATTTATTTTGTTTGCCGGGCGGGACAGACGTAATCGCTTTAAGATTTCTGAAGCTTAGATAAGGTTTTTAACAATTTAGGTTCTCTTCTTCTTCTTTTATTCTTTATTATCGCTTAGGCCTTCATAATACACACGCACACACACACACACACACACGCACACACATTTAGCAGATAAATAGCATAGATACAGCTAGTGGGTGCCTACTCTTTATAGTGCGCGAAGATTTACGTCATTATACACAGAAATCTGACTGATCTGATAGTGCCCGTGTCCCTGTCCATGTCAGTCATTCTCTATCTCCACCCCCCCTCGCTCCACAAAGATGACGACTACAGGTGGTTGAGCGGGATGATGAGAAGTTGAAAAGAAGATGGGAGGCTTTTTTTTGCACCATGCGCTAATTTTTGGGGGCATTTGGCCCAACAATTGACGCCTGCAAGATAAACTCTTACAAAACACATTCTATTTATTATTGTACGCCGCACAACACGCAGATACATACATAACTATGGTATGTTATACATACAGACAGATATACAGCCGTATTAATATGGGATGGATGCGTGTCTTCTCTTCTATTAATCTTTTCTGTTCTTTTTTGGTTAATGCTTATCGTTGAGGAACACAAATTGACGCATTTTGTTGGATCGACCTGCCTACCAACCCCCACCCCCCCCTCCCCCCCACTCCACCCCCACTTCTTCAGCTCGAGGCTCGACACGATTTGCGACGGTCTCCGGGTCCATGGGTGTCTCAATAACTGTAACCGTAGCCTCGGTCTCTTCGTCTGTCCGTCTGTCCGTCAGTCCGTCTGTTTGTCTGCCTGTCTATCTATCTGTCCGTCCTTCCCTCTGCATGGGTGTATGTGCGTTTACAATGAGGCGCCCTTATCACAGAGTAATTAATTACTTATAAAATACATGAAGTGGCAGTTTGTATTCCATTTATAAATAAAAGTCTATACACACACATATACATACATACATTCATACATACAAGTATATATGTACATATGTATATACTCGCGAACGTGCAATGACAATAAAATAAAATATTTAAAAACAACAACATCAACAAATAAGGTTACACACACACACACACACACACACACACGCACACGCACATATACAGACCATATACACGACATTACGCAATTCATTTCTTTTCTTCAGCCCTCATATCGGAGGCCCGGGGACCGAGCAAATTAATTTATTACATGACTTACGCAAAAGCTTCCAGCTCCATGCTTTATGGGCGATATAGTACTCGTATGTACTATAAGAAGCGGGTGCTGTTGTTGGTGCAAATATAGTATCGCATTCTGTATAATTGCATTTTTCTGATATTGCCAAATTCCAAGAGTGTTCCCCCACACACACATACTTGTATACAAATGTACATTTGTACATACTATATATGTTTGTTTGTATATATCTTTTGCAATAATTCAGAAATTTAAACCGTAAACGATCCGCACACTACCACTACCTGTTGATTGTTGTTGAGTCACGCATTGTTTTTTCCAGACCCTGGACATGTTTCAGTCATTCCCATTCAGTCTCGTCAATTAGTCAATCGGTCGATTAGTCAATCAGTCAATCGGTCAATCAGCTAAGATTATATTTAAGTTATTTTTGTTACTTGCCGTTATCTGCGAAACGTGTGTTTGATTTGGTTTTTTTTTTCGGGCTTTATTTATAACAGCTTTACCTATTACTGCTCTACAATAACAACAACGACAACAACAATAGCAATAACCACAAATCCTCCATGTGCCGCTCGCCTCTTACGCAAACGCTGATTGAAATGCTTTCAGAAACCCAATTGGTCCGACTTGGAAACGGCCCAGGTACAGCTAGTCGTAGTAATGCCCGCCCGCCCGGCCGGACGCCCTTGTGGGCGTGCACATACAAACAAATATACATACATACATATATGTATATACTATATACATACATATGTACATAAGTACATACATCACTTCCTAATACCATTGACTGACAGACGACTACCCAGCCGGCTTCGGTTTCGGTTTCTATTTTGACAACTGCAAAATTCCATTTAGGTAGGCTTACATATAATATGTATGTACATATGTACTATATATCTAAGGAGTAGTTGGGTGGTTGGGGGCGGTGTGAGGGACGAGCTGCTAGTGCTGTTGCTAATGCTATTGCCATTGCCGTTGACGTCTGACGTCTGACGGTCGTTTAAGTAAGTTAATTGATTTTTAAGCTAGCCTCTAGCTTCTAATGCGTTATGTAAACGGTAACTGCAAATTGGAAACGACAATCGAAATATATACATATACAAAAATGTACAAAAAAATAAAAAAAAAACAGTTCTGCCGATAATCACAGATCGGATATGTTTTCCCACATACGCGTATGCATGTATAGTATAGTATTTATGTTTATACATATGCAGGTGCTTATGTAAATACATATGTACCGAGAATTGGGAGAGGGGGAGCTGGAGAGGGGGGGGGGGGGGTTGGAGCACGTCATTGCTTGGCTTTGTTTGTTAACTTTAAAAATCTGCTCAGATGTCTGGCTGGCGCTTATCGAGCTTTAATGTTTATGCCAACCCAATCATTAGATTACATAAATAAATAATCATCATTCTCTGTTGTATACATTATTAATAATAAATGCCAATTTAACAAAAAAATGTGAAAAATAATATTTCTGTGTGTTTGTTTCTATGCTTGCAGCAACCCTCATACTCTTTCGACAGCGATGTAAGTGACTTTAATTTAACAATTACCATATATTGATTGATATTTGAACAAATCGGACTATAATTGCGGCCATTCTTTGTTTGGTCCGTTGTTATGCATTTGCCCAATTATGTGAGGGACTTTGAGAGTCCACTGACTGCAACCAATGTGTCGATTAATGAAATAACCATAAAGATTAGGGAATAGGACGAAAGATCCATGGAAAAAGTGAATGTCGTTGTGTAAGAAGAAACTCTTTTGATCTCAGCTGGGAACCAATGGTATAAGACTGGTAATCCAGCCAGAGGTGGAACTGCTCTCCCATCATCACCTCAGCAGAAGTGTTGTCAAAAAGGGAGAAAGACTTACAGGACTCTGGCGCAAGGACTCAAATATTCCTATACCTTTTTCGCTTTTCCGCTTTTAAATAATTTATTTCAAATTAAGATAAAGATTCGAATCTGGTTGGAGTTCTAGCTAAGACAGCTACTGTTGTAGCTGGCAGACTAGCCCTATCCTTGCTACATTCCTGGATGTATGAAGGAAAACAAGAAAAATGCTTATATAACAATATGCAGCTTTATAAATATTCTTTCAAGAATGTCAGTAGTTGACAGCTACAAAATATAACTAATTGACGAAGAATTGTTGATATTGATTGAAGTTATGATACTCTATATTCGAAAGAGTCAGGGATAACCAAATTCTTGATAAGCATTCCAAAAAAGAACAGACCTATTTTCTATACTAACAGCCGATACATAAATGTTTGTGTAAAAAAACTATAGGCAGGGATAACTTTTCTGTAGGGTATTCCCCAATCGGAGGTAATTTTTTGTAGTTAGATTTGATTTATATTTGTTGGTTCATTGTTATCAGTAATTGCAGCTTCAGATCTTTTGAGCAGAAATTAATAACGCCAATAGATCAGCTTCAACTTCAGCTTCAACTTCAGGTTCAGGTTCAGGTGCAGGTGGCAGACACAGTTGCCGGCCGGTCGGAGCAACTTAATGTTCTTCTATATAGACACACACACATGTACATATGCATATACTATACATGCAAGTATGTGTGTGTGTGTGTGTGTGTCTGTGTGCAAGTGCACTCATACATGGGCGCATTGAAACGCATGCGTGAAGAGAATGGCTAGTTTTGGCAGACTGTTAGACCAGACCGGCTGACATTGGGGACTCTAGAATCATATGAATACATGCATACATACATACATGCATACATACATACATGTATGTACATACATATGTTCGTTTGTACATCAGCCGCCAATATCGCCAATAAAAATATCAAATGAGACGAAAACAAAAGCACAAAAATGCACGTAATTTGTGCAATGTGCAGTCAGGTAGGTGGGCGGGCGGTGGGGCGGGGGCGATCAGTTCGGTCGGACGGTCTGTCGATCGGTCGGTCTGTCGGCTCTGACAAATTCGAAGTTGTTGTGCTTTGTAGCCTCGAGGCCGGCTATGAAAACTGAGCGACGATTTGATTGTGCGTGTGTGTTTTCGGGTAGAGCAGTGGCCGGGCAGGGTTGGGTAGGGTAGGGTCGGGGGTAGAGGTAGTGGCATTGGCCGTGTCAGGGGTAGAGTGGTGGGGAGGCGGTCTTCGATTCTGGCGTATCGCTCGATCGAGCCTAAAAGCTTGAGCTTGAAAGCGAGCGCAACGCATGCGAAATGTTGTGTCAAGGTTCCAGTTTCGTCATTGTCGCAGTAGACAGAAGCGGTGAGTGGAGTGATCGTGGCTGTGGATATGGATGTGGACGTGGACGTTGCCAAGCGACCCACTCAACAAGTGACAGACAATACGTCATTGCGTGATATGCGCAACAGTACAGTATTATCTTTAAAATACTCGCACTTAACCCAGTGGTGCCCCCGTAAGCTAAATGATCATTTGTGGTTTTTATTTTTTTCTAAAATTAAATATTTTTTATTTTGATCAATTTTGATATCCCCGATCATAATAAAGCCTTTTTTTCAGTGTCATCTGCTACCATTATCTTTTGATTTTCTTACCATAAGAGGAAATTCTACAAAGTTGTTGAACATTTGACCATCTTCATTAGAGGCCATAGATCACTAATTGGTAATCAAGTTTGGTCGCTAATCGATAAACAAAGATCATAACCGTACAAACCGATTTCTGATCCAGTTTAAACGCGAAAAGAACTGGAATTCGTCCCATACAGTGTAAGCAATACTCGTAAATATGAATAGTTGCTCACAGATTAGCATTCGAAATTGTGTTAAGAATGCATATAATCTGGTTGGATTATGACCATTACTTAAAGCGATATCTTTATCGATTTCCTGCGAATTTCTTGCCAATCAATGATAAAAATTCTCTGGTGGATTTATGCAATGCATTATTGCATTGTATTTGTTTTGCGCTCCACTTAAAAGTTTCTTTATGAAGCGGTTTGTACTGCCACTGGATGATGGTTAATTTTTATGCATTGCGTGGGTGCAGATATTTGGTTCGGTTCGGTTCGGTTCGATTTGGATGTGGATGGGAATGGTTTTTGAAACGTTGCAGCATTATTGGGGTTTACATATGTATGTATGTATGTATAAAAAATGAATGCATCATCAGCCACTGTTCCAGTGAGTGTTTGAACTCGAAATTTTATAGGGGCACACGCATACATACATATGTACATATGTATGTATGTACTTACATATATAGACACGAGTATATGCATGTATTTGGTATGTTCAGATACTACACCATTCGGGTAATTGCCCTGCCACAACATGCACAAGTGTCGTCTGAACGGTCTGAGCGGTTCGGTGTTTGCATGGGAATTTAAAAAAAAAATTAAATAAAAAAGCTCCAAATCAAAAAATACAAAAACCAAAAACAAGTTTAACAAATGTGTGTGTGTGTCTGTGTGTGTGTGTGTGTGTGTGTGTGCTGAGTGTACTGTGTGGTGTATTTGATATCGGAGCCACGTCGCGATCGTTGGCATTGCCGATGTGTAAGTGCAAAATTAGCTAAAACTGAAATCTTATCGGGCGTCTCAGTCGCAGTCACAGTCTCAGTCGCAGTCGCAGCAAGTAATTAGGTACGTTATACTTACATACATACATGTGTACCGCATTACCATTACCATTGCGCGTGCGTGTGTCTCTCTCCTTCTCTACGTACGTGTGTGTGTGTGTGTGTGTGTTTGTGTGTGGTGTGCGGTGTTTGTGGTGGGTGGAAGGGGGAGGGGTTTGTGTAATTTGATGATCAATCACTTAAACTACTATTTATTCAAAGTTTATGTCGTCCATTGCGTTTTCAAGTTTGCTTTTTGTATTCTTGACACGGGCCATGCGATAAAAGGAGTGAAGTGGTGGGGGAAGAAGAGAATAGAGAGACATTGGCGATCGTGGCAGGCGTCGGCGGCTACCCTATGAAGTTGGTGGCAGTCGCATCAATATAAAGACAAATGGCGACGTATCAAGGATAAACAAATGGTGCGTGCTATTGTGGGCGGGAATGTACGCGTACGTCCCCTTCCTATCTGATTTTAGATTTCGATTGTGAAAGGCAATTTAATGACATGTCTGTTGACAATTAGAGTAGCCCCCAACTCCGGCCTTCCCTTAATTGATCTGAGATACATACATATGTACATATGAACATACATATGTATATGTATATAAATATCTATTTTGAATCGCTCAATTGTGGCAGCACGTTTTCCCTAACTGACCCAAATTAGCTCAGATCATCGACTCGAATCTTCAGACACGCTTCTTCCATTGTTCTTTAAGTTCAATACGAGTATGTTAATGCTTCATCTTCTTTATCTTGTACATTGTGTATTTGTAGAAATTGTTAAAAGCAAAGCACACTACCTACATACATATGTGCCCCACAGCGTGTTATCGCCAGACTTCACTTTCTACTTCCATAAATATAAGTTCTTGATGTTGTCTCCCTGCCTAGTCGTTATAGGACATTGTTGTCCAATTACCCGAAACTGGCAGCCCAGTTTCAAGGTAAAGCCAAGCAAGATGTAATTTAGAACCGGTTCAGCAACCAGTTGACTCGACTCAACGAATCAGATATCAGCTCTGCATTTGCATATCCTCATCATCACTATCATAATCATCATCTTGTAGTGCCAGGCCGGTAGAAATGTTGACAATAAGTACTAGTCAGAAATTTCTACATATTTTAGCCAAGCAATTGCGCTACACAATGCAATAAGCTGTGTTGCAAAACTCTCCAAACGATGCTGAATGTAGCTTGAGATGATCGATAGTATCATAAATATTTGGTATTTTCCAATTTCATTTATCGATCCCCTAAATATATCAGATTTGTTATTATATTTCAATTATAGATGTTTTCTATTAACAATTAGCTAAAAAGAAGCGCGTTCAATTATTTTCGGAGGATTGAAGAAATTAAGTACGGTTTTCATTCCTCTTTAAATGATATTGTGTTAAAAAAAAGCACCAATAATTGCATATTTGGTTTTGCTTTGATTTGAAATACCAGCAATTAAAACAATATTTTTAACATATTCCACATGGAATAATTATTCTTTGCCGAATTCTCTTTTACATACAACTGTTGCTTGGTTGTGTTGCATTTTGGATTGTTTGAAAAAGGCAATTATTTTTTGGTCATTACTCGCCTCTAATTAAATGAAAAATCAATCATGTCTTAATAAATTCTATTTAGATGTGTTTTTAATTATATCTAATTAAATCCATATTACCATTCCTGGGCAACTGTTCGCACACAAATCGGTTATTTGCTGCCTCATCAGCTTCATTTTATAAGATATTTCTCAGTATTACTCGTAAGTATTTATCTCATCGGGTATATCCCGCACTTCCAATGACGAATTGAACTATTAAGCTTATTTATAAAAATCGCATTAAAATGGTATAAAAGACAGAAAAGAACAGAATAGATAAACAAAAACAACCACAAGTCATGCAAACGATAGTAGCAATCGAGTAGTTGAGAAAAAATCCCCACTTCTCTGAAGTGCGCGACTCTGCATA